TGCACACTGAAAAAAAATAATATTTTGATACACTATAATAATGGGTGAGCGCACTCGATTTTTCCTATTTTTGTACAGGTACTATAGAATTGCCCATAGAATATACCTTCAAATTTTGTACATTTATTTGCTACAGTTTACGAGTAATGAACAAAAAATCAATTTCTTATTCCTTTTGAAAAACAAAAGTGTTTTCAGCTTACGTGGTACTGTAGGCGTGTACTACGAACGATTTGTTTCTCATCTCTCTGCCGAATTTGAAGTCGATACCTTCACTTCTGCGGCCAGGAGAATATTTACAACAGACATGACGCAGACAGGTAGGCGGACAAACGAACACGTTTAAATTGATTCAAAATCTGCTGCTGATCAAAGATATCTACACTCCGTGGGGTCTCTGGGGCTTTGTTTTGGCATTGGCGCGTCAACCGTCATCGTCCCCTAACATCATAATCTTGGTCATCCGAATTAACATAACCTGACATATAACAACCTGTTATTACCCTTTTGTTAACTGCAAATTTTTTGTTCACCTTTACATGCCCCTCATTCATTTAGTGACTTTGTATAAAAATATCAATATTAATTTCGCCTCACATTCAGACAATTAAGAATTACTTTTGTAATTTCATTTAGTTGAAATATTTCATTTATGCTAACTTTTAAATTCTTTTAAATTTTATGCAACAAAAATAACAACAACGCAAGTATATACATAACCCTGACAAAACTCTTGTAACTATGTAACGCACAACAATAGAAAATAATTTATTTATTTACTTAGTTTACCTAAATAATTTTTGCCATCTAATTTTGTAAGTTAAGCAAAAGAATTTTTTAGCTCATACCGCCCAGTCATTTAAAGAAGAAAGAAACTATATTCCCGCATTTTTTTTAATGTACCTCTTATCAATATGGGCTCCTTTATTATTCCCGTTTTCGAATATTGAATTAACTCTTCTGGCCGTCAAGCTCGATCATTAGAAAAACCGGCATATCTCATATTTCTTGTTACCCTTGCATCCTTTCGCCGACTTATCTCGCGTGTTGGTTGGTTAGGATGGTTATGGTTGATTATCTGCATCACTTTAGCGTAACCGAAGACCAACCTGAAGCAAGCATTTGTAACATTTCTTATAAAGACGGCTTTTGAAATCATTAGTAAAATAGTCGTCCAGAAAGCACCTCTGTTCATCTATATATGCCCTATTATATCAAATACTTAGGAATAGATATAGACAGAATATCTGTATGCAAAAATGGGGAATCAAACGAAAAACTTTCAACTTAAAAAAAATGTTTTCACTTGTTAAATCCGAAATCACTACTTCACCTACTTGAGAAATGAAATCGCCGTATTAAAAACCATAATCAGATCTACTTAAATAGCGATCAGTTGGCTAACCGCCGTACGATCTAATTGCAATGGTTTTTAATTGCAAAATATATTATTAAATACGGACATGACGATTCGCCCTTTTTAGATCAATATCTCTTATGTGGCACTAGGTACAGTTTTTAAATATTGCCTACGGATTGTTTTATTTTTCATACAATTTCAGATAATCTTACCATGTCAAATCACCCATAAATATTTGCATTGTAATGGAATTTATAGTTCTTGCGGGTGCACAAATGCGGATCGCTATTATTTCTCATCAAATACCGAATCTCGAAACCTGGGAACCAGCTGCAGATTCCATTCGCATTTGGTTTGCTAGTCATTGCTTTTTGCTTGCTGTAGGCGAGCCGTTCTTGACTTTAAATCACTTTATGTGCATTAACTAGACGTCGGGTTTCATTTTTTGAACCGTGAGCATAACAACAAACGCCAAAGGCAGGGGCACAGTACTAAATGTGAAAGTATTAGTAGTATTATTGTTATTATTATCGTTATTATCATTATTATTATTGCTAATATAGCCAAAGAATCAAATTCGAAGACTAAAGTCTTAAGCACTAGTATCTAGAACTATCGGCTTTATTGAAAGCTCTACCCCATTTGAAATTTAAACCCACGACCATTGTCGTGTTGGTCGAGATTCTTTGTGTACTCGGCGACTCAGGCGAATGGTTTTAAAAGCAAAATTTTTATTAATAATTACTATTATAATTATTATTACAATTTATTCAACCGAAGAAATAGATTCCAGGCCTAAAAGCAGATCAAGCACTGGCAACTAAAACTATCGGCTTTTCTTTTTTCATAGGATACACTATATGGTTACTATAGTCGCTTCAATAAAATTAAATATTTTATTGATATTAAATTCACCAGACACTACCATGTGCGTGTACGTGTACGTGTGTGTGTACGCGTGTGTGTGTGTGTGTTTGTGTGTGTGTCTTTTTTGCTCTCCGACCTGTAGGTAAAAAATCTTCAAAAGATGCTCTTAGTAGCAGCATGCACGATTCGCTATCCATGACGCATACGTACTAAAAACTACCCCGCTACACCTTTCTTCTACAACCCACCGCGGGACCACCGTTAAGTACTACTTCGCGGAGGCCGGTTGTCGTTAGCACGATTCCGATGGTGGAAACTCAGTGGAATACACTATTGGCTTCCACTCCCTCTGCTCTCCACCCGTGGTCTCTCCATTCGCCATAACGTCTCGACGGCATTGCTTGCGAACGCGTTTACGGCGTTCAAAGCTGCTGCACTACCGATCATTACGCTCGTTATTTCGTTAGGTTGCACTTGAGGTCGTTCTCAAATCTGCAGCAGTAGAAAATTACGTGCTCTGCGTCTTCCTCCGTATCCGCGCATATCAGGCGAGCTGTCGTGCCCGAATCTGTGCAGCTACTTCCGAAAGCAGCCATGGCCAGTCAGAAGCTGGGTGAGGTAATAGTTTCCCCCGCCGTGGCGTCTTTCAACCCATCATCTTATGCTAGGAACAAGAGCAAACGTCCATCTTTCTTTAGTCATTCTTTCCCACCTCGACTGCCATATCTTCAACGAGGCTACCCCTTCCTTGGTTCTTATAACGCGTGAGGAGAGCTCGTTGCCGCGACGCAGCTCGTAGATGCGGCTCATCTCGTCGGCCAGAATGTCGACTGGCAGAACGCCAGCTAGCACTAGCACTGCTTCTTCTGACACGGTGCCGAATGCGCAAACCTGCCTAAGGCGATATATCGCCGCCAATTTTCGGAGTGCCGTCTTTACAATCAGTGCACACGCCCACACTTGTCTCGTATACATAATGCCGCTTTCTTCGCCACGTAATCAATATGACACCTGAAGTTGAGGCGATGGTCAATTATGACCCCCAGAGATTTGAGGGCGGGGACTGATTGCACTATGTGATCCCCGATTCTAATCATGCACGTCTCTGGCTTTTTCCGGCTGCTCACAAGCACAACTTCAGTTTTATGTTCAGCCAGCTCTATGCCCACATTGTTTAGCCACCTTCTGATGACGATGATTGCCTCGGTAGCTTCCGCTTCTATGTCTGTAATTTGCTTTGCGAGCGCCACTATCGCTACGTCGTCGGCGAATCCAAAACTTGTAGTGCTGGTGGATAGCAGGAACTTCAGAACGTCGTGATACATTATATTCCACAAGAGACGGCCAAGAACAGACCCTTGTGAGGCGTCGGCTGATATTTTATACAATTCTGTGCCGTTCTCGCTTTCATACACCAACGTGCGGTTCGACAGGTAACTCGTTATGATATCTAGTAATACCTTGGAACCTGCGCTTTTATAAGAGCCTAACCGATAGCTCCCCAATTCGCCAAGTTAAAGACGTTTTCAACGGTAAGTGTAATCAGGGCACAGTATTTTTTGGGACCACCTTTCCATCTATCCCCGGCTATGGAGTCGGATGCCAGCCTCACTAGGTGTTTTATGGCATCTATTGTCGACCGCGTTCTTCTGAAGCCGTACTGATTATTGGATAGGGCACCATTTTCTTCGGCTACTAGCAGTAGACTTTCGTATACTACTGATTCCAGCAGTTTGCCCATCGTATCCAGAAAACAGACAGGCCTGTATGACGATGGACCAGCCGATGGCTTGCTACTTTTAGGGATCAGGACCAGCCTCTGCATCTTCCATTTCTCGGAAAGACTCTCTCTCTGCGACATGGTTGCAGAAGTTGGGCAAATATCTCCGGTCTTACCCTAATCGCCGTCTTCAGCGCTTTATTAGGAGTTCCGTCCGGACCTGGAGCCTTTTTGTCGCCAATTGCTTCGCTGACCGCAAGCACGTCTTCCATAACAATAACCGGGGGTGGTTCTTGCTACCCTTTGATGAAATCCTCTGATACGTATGGCGGCGTTTGCGGGAAAAGTTTTGTTACAATTTTGCTCAGCAAGGCAGGGCACGTGACTTGTGGCCGGCCGTCCCTTTAAATTTCTTCAGCACCACTTTGTACGCAGTTCCTCAAGGGTCTGCCTCTCTGCACAGAGTCTCGAAACAGCTTCTCTTGCTGCGCCTAATGGCTTTCTTCAAGTCACCGCGCAGCACTTGTAGTTGTGGACCCGACTGTCGAAGTTTGGCTTTTTCCTATATCGCGAGACCAATCTTCTGGCTTTAAGGCACTCCTTCCTGGCCGAACTTATTTCCGCGTTCAACCAGTAGCACGGGGCGCCTTTTTTGCACGTCCTTCTTCTAAACATTGACGCGTCGTTTATAGCGGTACACACACATCGTGTACGAGCTGCTCCGTGTTCTCACCGTTTATCGCACGCGAAGAGAAAGTCAACTTGAAGGTTTCTTCGTCGTCCTTCCACTTCGGACCCCTGTGCGTCAGACCTCTATTTCCTCTGCATCGCCGGACCTCGACCCCTATAAAGATGGCTTGGTGTTCGCTGTCCGTGTAGCCTTCAAAGAGCGTCCATCTACACTTTGGCATCATGCTATCGCTCACGAACGTGATGTCGATCATTGATTCGAAATCCGCTCTCCTGAACGTATGTTTTTGACAGTCATTCATTAACGTCAATGGTAACGCTTCCAGAAGCATTAGTGGTTCTACTGTCCCATTCCACCGGCCAGGCGTTAAAGTCTCCCGCGATTATGACCAGCGGTTTGCTGCGGCCATCCGCTACTAATTCATCAAACATATTCAGGAACTTCCCCTGCGTCCAGCTTGGGGTGCATAGCAACCGTAGTAGTATGTGTCCCGAATTCTCGCCCGCGTGTAGCCGTTGTGCTAGCCACCTTCATTCAGGAGTGCAGATTCTAATGACCAGGTTGCTGCTTTCCTTGCTGCATCGGCGATCCATCTTCCACGACTCATACTTCTGAAAGATTCGCTGATCAGCAACATGTCTACCTTCTTCTCTATGACCGTTTGTCTGAACAGATCATGAGCTGCTTCGCCGTGGTTGAGATTAATCTGCATTATTCTCATTCGCGTTCTCTAGCAGCTAAAGTACGTTTGAATAAAGGGCACATGCTGCTCCCCGCTATACGTTTAGCGTCCACATTTGGCGTGCCTTTACAGATATCACACCGAGGATCTTCGGAGCACTCTTTTGCGATGTGCCCATCTTCTTCACATCGTCGGCAGACCTTTGGTCGGTCGCATGTTCCTGTGTGTACGTGTGTGTGCATGCGTGCGTGTGTGTGTTTGTGCGTGTGCTACTTAATTTTATAAATTATTAAAAATTTGTGAAAATCGTGTTTTAAAATTATTTCATAAAAATTGTTCGCTAATTGCTAATGCGTTGAAAAGATGTTAACTTAATGATATTTTAATGTTGTAAAATATCCGATGAAACGTTAGCTTAACCAAAATGTGTCTCTAATATGCCTGCGTGTCTATCCAATATGACATACAATAGTTCACATTTCATTGCTTGGTGAAACCGTAATTAAAATATTAAACTACCAACCGACTTTTTATACATATATATTTATTTCTTTAAATCATATCAAGTTGCATTTCCCTCTTAAAATTCTCAAAGTTTCAAAAATTCAGACAGAAAGTTCATTCCATAGAGATTTTCGTATATAGTATTTTGCATCGATGCAAGAGATCAAATTAAAAAATATGCTAGAATCGTTCGCAAAAAAAATGTTGTGCTCATTATATACAGGATGTTACAAAAGTGGCAATAAAAACTGATGTTTTTACGAAAATTTTATCGGATTGTATAATGACTAACATTACTAAAAATCATACAAGTTAATACTGAAAATTAAGTACTGATGGTACTGCGCCGATTATGATTGTTTTTAAATTTAACTTTCTGAAATATATTTGCACAACATTTTTGGATGAGCCATATACTATGAGCAAAAGTATTATGAAATTTTTTGTTTTTTCTCAAAATAGATCTCTATTTTTGGAGCTTTTCGAGTATCAAATAAAAAAAAAAAAACCAAACCAAATGTGGTAATTTAATATGACGATAGAAGTAGCTATAAACTAAGCGCCTGAAAATCGAAACGCGCAAAGATAAATTGAATATGAATATAAAAACGTGTTGTTCTTATTATAAAAATTCGCCTACAATTTTTGAAACGTTGCATTCTTTATATGCGTTATATGCGTTCTTTTAAAGCTAAAAACCTTCCAACATATCAAATCAATTAATTCAATGTATCTTCTATATTAAATTGTGCATGTATGTAACGCTCATGAAAATGAACATGAAAATAAAAACGCTTATAAAAATAAGACTAAAGAAGAATTAATTAAAATAAAGTACAAATGGTGGACGGTTCAAAGTGATAAATTTAAATAAGAATAATTTATGATACCAAATTTTTCAAACAAGAATTTAGTGCACAAAACACAAGTGCTTGCACTCCATATTATCATCATCAAAAGTTCAAAAGGAATTTAATCTAAAATAATGTGTACTTCTTTAAATCTATGGTTCTTGTGTTTTGTGTCATATACATAAAAATGGCAAAAGTTATTTAATTCTAAACAGGAGATGATGCATATTATATAAGCACTTAATCTCGTTACGACTCCTTTTAAATAAACAGTATTTTTAGAAATTCAAAGAAAAAAAACGAAAATTAATGTTCCTCTTCTTCTTTTTCTGTTTCTTAACAATTTAGATTAATTTTTTTCTTAACATAAAAGCAACTAAGGTCTTTTAATTTTCCCAAGCAGCTACCTCCGACATATCGAACTATATAAACCATTCTTTCCTCTTTGTAACCTGATGTCCTGTAGCCGAATGTATAACGGCTTCATCGGGGTCTTCGGCTCCATCAGCACCTTGATCTTCGTGAGTCAGGTAGTCCCCTTTGTGGCGATGTAAATAACGACCAATCAAAAATACCATCAGGCACAGCAATAACAACAATACTGTTAAAAGGCCTAGTGAAAACAAGAATACATTTAAAAGAAAAAATGACAGCTTTTTATTATCCATTAACTTACAGCCCAAAAGTACAGAATCTACTTCATTGTAAGCTTTGCGTAATTTCTCTTCATCAATAAGGGGTGGCGGTCGTGTCTCAATTTCTATTGGGGGATGTGTAACTGGTTCTACACCGCAAAAGTCTTCCGTTACAGGAGCTGAAAAGGGGCTTGAGCTTTGTGTACCTATATCAATAGAAAAAACACTTACTTCCCAATGATTTCACGTTCGATGGAGGATTTTCTTGGAAAAGTAATTTCAGTGGATATATGTCATCGAATTGCACACGTGACACGCAACCCGCAAAACCGTCAGTCATCGACTCATTTTTACCAATATATAGATATTGAACGTTATTAAACTGGGCGTCAGCTGAAGCTTTAATATCGAAATGATATTCAACAGGCTCATAATTATCAACTTGCAAAACCACGGTCGAGCCGCCATTTTTCCGCATGAAACGTACATCATGATATTGGCCTAACCCGAAATGTTTTTTGGGAAAGATAATTTCCTGTCGTTCAAATCCGAAATCAAAAATACAACGCAAATAACCTTAAAAGAAAATACTTTGTTGTAAAGTTGCAAAATTTTCAAATCATTGAAGTTTTACCGGAGTTTGAAATTGCCAGGGTTAAGTACTCGCCGGTCAAATTAGACGAGAGACCCAAAAGAAAGCCTTTAGTTATAGTTGTCGTAAAGCCGACGCGTATATTCTCTGCAATTGTAGAACGAAATGAACCTTCGAAATCATAACGTATAAATGAACTGCTCCTTAAGTTAACACCAATTTCTAAAAGAAAAAAATGTTTACATCTCACTTAAATTTTTACATCCTTTTATTTCTACCGTCCGCGCATATTGGTCCTTTAAAAGCACTCCAGCGGCAATCACATGAATATCCATCATAACGTTCCGTGCAAGTACCATTATTCAAACAGGGATTGGACTCACATCGGCCTACACATCCAGCGGTTATTCCATACAAACCGTGTACGGTGTACTGTTTTAAATCAATCATTTTCCCATTAAGTAGAAGTGCCCTAATACAACCCACGTAACCATCTCTATACTCGGTTGTGGCACCCAAGACCAAATCCGATGTCAAATGTAAAGCTCTCACTGGACCGGGTGGTTCTCTTACTTCTGCCTTAATAGAACCATCCACAACTAAACGCGCTTCCTTTCTGGGAAGCAAGACAGTGTATAATTATCGCTATCAATAATTCCCATATCAATATTACAGACCTATTTCTCTCCACGCTAACCGTATGCCATACATTGTCATTCAGCCGATAGCTGGTGCCGACATTGACACCCAGTGGTCCACTCCCAGCTTGATATTGAAACTGCACTTTATTGCCACCAATTATACTCAATTTGATGTAATCCGTAGGACCCGTAGCATGAAAGATGACTGCATTTTCAAGAGTAGTTTTAAATTCCAAATAAATATCTCCCGAATGTCCCATATCAAAAGGCGGCAAATTTATAGTCGCGTCAGCAATACGAAAGGTAACCACATTACTAAATAGGTCATCGCCTTCGCAACGCAAAGGACCCAAAGTATAACGACCTTGCTTCTCATCAAGCGGAGTTCCAGTATCGCCGAATTTCAAAGCCCTTACTGGTAAATATTCCTTCTCACGTATATCGCCTCCATCTTCAGTCCATTCCATACTGTTTGAATCACAGTTACACCACTTCGTGGGATCTTGACATTTGCCTAATATTCCACATTCACATTTGCGTGAACCCGGCAAGGCACCTGGCCAGTAATCCATGGGTTGATTTTGACGTGACATCCACCACGAAAATGGACGAAAGTTACCAACTTCAGCTAAACCAAAGGCAACTCAGAAAATTGTTATTCAAATATTTTTTCTATTAAAAGGAATCCAACACTTACATGGAGAATTGAAAAGTCTTGAAGAACGACAAGCGTAAGTTAAGCGTTGCCAGCATGTGTGCGACCGATTAAGCAGGGCTTCTATTTGCTCTGAATCGGCATCGTATAATATATTTTGTTTAAAAGACCCAGGTTCTTGGAAACCATCTACGGTGGTGGTATGTTCTTGACTGTGACCTAAGGTGGTTATAACACGACCGTCAGCTGAAAAACTGGTATTTTTATTTCATATCTTAAAAATGTAATGCATTAATTTGCCTTACAGTAGAATTCACAGACAACCGGAAAAGGTGCTAACGGGCCGCTGCCATCCACATCAATGTTTATATTAACTCGCTGTTGGACATGTTGAACATTCTTATAAGCTTGGCAAGATAAGGGATTATTTGCTGAAATTGTACCAACAAATTTAATATAAAATGTATTTAATAAATCCCAAGTTAAACTTACAAGTATGACATACGGCTCCAGCATAACCTGTGTTGGAACAATCGCAAAAGAATTCCATAGAATTCTGATGGCAGTTACCATTGTGCTGGCAAGGATTAGGATTACAACGATCAATCATTTGACAAGCATCTACAACAACTTCATCGCCACAGCATACTTCCTCACCTTCAACCCAATCTTTCGGTAATTTGTAATTTCCGTCGACCAAAATCAAACGCATACAGCCTACAAAGCCGTTATTTTTTTCAATTCCGCCTGCTAGGTAATATAAACGGCCCGTGGAAATTTCAATATTCTTAGTGGTTGTCATCGGACGCTGGTCAATATCTACAACTAGACGGTTACGTTGAATGGTCAAGACAAATGAATGCCATTTCCCGTCATTGAATTGCTCATTATAATTATCCAGAATAATGCGAGGTTTATTTGTGAATTTCAAATCTACTTTCACTTTGCCGTAGTCTAAAAATACTTTCACATAGCCGCCAGTGCGAAATTCATGTTGTAACATCATGCCGGACTCTTCATAAGTTCGAAAATAAAAAGAAACATTCAACGATTTTTGAGCTTCGTAACCTTTTAAGCGGACAAACGAATTGCGTGTAGTAAACGTCACTGGATAGATGGGAGGTGATGGACACGCATAAACTGTGTTAACATTTTTGTAACGATACGCATCACCGTGTTCATAATTCTGTTTCATATCGCGAATGAAATTCGTTGAATTAAAAAATATATTTTCCATGCACCCGGTGAAGTTTTGCGTAACATATATGCCTTCCTGGATATTGGGTACACCGCCTACATACAATTCTCGGTTTAAATTCAAGCGACTGAATTCGCCCTTAATTCGACCCCGCACAATCACACGATCGACAGAGAAAATAATATCACGTCTATTCCGTGATATAACCACATCATGCCAAACATTATCATCTAGCAAACTTCCCACCGATAAGGAGGTCATAATACCACTACCTAAATCCAAATTTAAAACCATTTTGTTATCCATCAGTTGCAAAGCAAAATAGTCCCCTTGGGTGCCACGCGAGTATAACATTATGCCATTAGCATACGCGGTCTTAAAACGAAAGCGTATCGATTCTCGGGTTGAAGCGATTGGCTCCTGTATTAAATTGTAGCGCACTAGACCAGCACCGTTGAAAAAAAGATTTTCTGCCTCTATAAATATGAAATAAAGAAGAAGCTTAATCGACTTTTGCACATTCAAGTCCGTGTTGTCTAGGTTCATTAATGTAAAATATCAAAGAAAAATTGATTGGAGATTTCACATACCGTAATCGCAGCCATATAACTCAATCCTCATAGATATGCGGTCGTGCCAACGTGTTGGGTTTATGCGCACCCATTGAGCAATAATGGGTACTTCGAAAACATTGTAATGTATAGAATTGCCATCCGAGTTTCCTTTAAACATCTGTACAGAAAAATTAATATGCAGCTTTCATTATTTTACGCACTTCAATCTTACTGGCCGTAAACGGATAAATACACGAAATAGGTTATAATATTAATATTCAGTTAGTTAAATTATGAAATAAAGTAGTGTGTTAAGTTACTTAAATAAAAAATAAAAATCAATAATGTTAGATTTTCCACCAAAAGCCCATTCAATCGTATCTAAGCCTATGCATGTTTTTAATTATTTAAATTAGAGACCAATGTATCAAGTTACCCATGTAATATTTTAATCACCTTATTTTGGGAGCGGAAAATTCGTTTAAAAATATAAAAAGGCACATTACATTGATGTAGAGCGCGGTAATCTCTTGGCGTTCGTCTTTACCTTTGAGAAAAGAGTTAAAAGCTAAAGTTTGTTATATATAACAGTAAAAGTGACATGCTATGCAAGCATAAAGAATTTACCGCAAATACTAACTTTTCCTATCTGATCTTAATACTCGAAACCATAAGATACGTAAAGTTTTAACATAGCAAAGTCCGAAGGTCACCTAAGATAGGATAAGCGATCCTTTATTACGGTGAAAACATTGAATAATTACATTAATAATTTTTACATTTTTGCTAATTGCACTCGGGTTATTAAAGTTTTTTAACTAAGTTAAATTTAATTTTATTAAAATGAAAATCATTCTTGATTTATTTGCATGATAGAATACCAACGATTATAACTTGTTTTTATCTAAAACCATACATTTTGTGGGAGCCCTTATATTGGTTTAGAATATAAATTGATGGGACTTAAATGTAGCAAAATTAATCCTATTGCCAAATACCATATCATTATTCACCTGCTTCTATCATAAAGTACCAGAAATTACAATTTGTTCCATTACTTTCAATAAGTACCTTTATAAGGCGTGGTGTCGGAAAAATATGCCTAATTAGTCCAAATGTGGTATATTTATTTCCTAGGTAAAATTGCTATTAGTCGCAAATTTTGATCGTAATATATTTAAAAAAAGAGATCTTCTTGTCACATAAAAGCATAGTTTATGTTAGAACCGTTACATAAGGCGAAAAACATAAGATAAACTTCCACGATCCAAGTTTGACACACTTGAGTTTTATTCCAAGCTGCTCTTGAAAACAAATTCTCACTATGAAGCATTATAAATTTGAACATTTTGCCATATAAAGATGTAGTTTTCGTAGAAACAGTTATATAAAAGGGGATTCAAAACGTCGACCCATCCGATCGAAACTTTTCGCAGCAACTTAGGATGTCGAAATATGGTTATTCCGCAATTTTGACGGAAAATTTTGAAAATTTCAATTTCAAATCATATGCATCGTACGAGGAGTCGTCTATTTGTGTGTTTTGTGTTCACCTAAAAATACCAAATTTTGAGGTATTTTAATGAGATTTGGAACAATGGCGTTCTTTGACCTAAGGACGAACGTTGTTGAAAATGTTTCGAATCGGTCTATTATTTCGACCACTCCTCCGTAAACTCCACTCCAAAAAAATGCAATTTTCAAAATTTTTCGACAAGTCTCATTGAGTAGTAGCACTTCGACATTCTGAAATTATATGAGAAATTTGGTTTGGGTGTGGCAATTTTCTCATCCCGCCTTCATATAACCATTCCTAAGAAAACTACACCTTTATATGGTAAAACGATCAAATTTTTCATATTTCATACTGAAACTTATTATATAATAGTAAATTGACACAAATAAACCGTACCGAATTCGGACTACATAGATCTGTTTTTTGGATACAACCGCATATATGGTCTCTTAGGAAATGCAAACCCTTATATAAGCTCAAAATTTGCCAGTAATTTGAAATAAAAATGAAATGGACTAAATTTGAATAGCATGGATCTATTTCTTGGACCCCACTTCTTATAAGACTGTACATGGATCGAAAACCCTTCAGAAAGAGGATTAATTTTTAATATTTTATAGTGAAAATTAGTCCATAGTATCGTTTTAACAAAAAAACTGACGGCAGGGAATTTTGATCACATAGGCCTGCTTTATAAACCATAACATATATAGATGTTACCACGAGAAGCAATTCCTTGTATGGGGAGAAGTTCTAATTTCTAGTTTTTTTTGTGATGGAAAATGAAAAATAATATTTTTAGAAAGTGAATTAACTTTGCTAAATTCGGTCAAATCATGTAAGATTTTGGGCATCTCTCAGTATGTGAGTTTCCATGAAAAGTATGCCTTTGCATGAAAATAATGTGTAATTTTGAGCGTGTTATTACGAAAAATGAGTGAGTGATTGTACTAGGCTCTGCCCGACTATAATTTCTTTAGTGGTTTTCCTATTAAAAAAAAAAAATTCCGATGATAGCTAGAAATTGCTACTAATCGAATATCTTAAGTTTCAAAAACAGCATAAGTACTAATTTCTATAAACCCTTTTTTAAGAAATTTCCCAAATGAGATCCTATTTTAAAAGACATTAGAAAATGGGCTTTCATATCGCTATTGTGTATACATTTCGTCATCTACATGAATACTCATGACATTTGCAGTCATTCATTTCTAGCATCTAAAAATAATCGCCAGAGACTTTATACCGAGATTTCAAGTCCATTTACACATATACATTTCTGTCAAAAATGGGCGTAGCATTGTGAGAGTGATGTGTATGGAAGATTAAATGAACGTACAGGGTTTTTACATTTTAGTAAATATTTGTTTTAAACTGATTTAGACCAATCAACTTCCAATACATTAAGTATTTCAACGAATGGGACGATAAAATCTGAATATTTAATCTACAAAATTAAAAAACTAGATATGCCACACAAGACAGCAATTTTTCAAAATTTCTTAACACAAATATAAGAAAATATTTTGCCCGATAAAATGATTTTTTCCAACTTTGGATCATTTAAGTATGTAAATCAAAAATAGTTAATATACGTGTAAATATTATTTAAAAAGCGTATTACCTGCGGTTCACTTGACGGATTAACATATGAACGCCAATATTCACCATCATCTGAATACTGAACTATGTATTCAGTAACAAATTCATTTGTAAAACGACGTCCCATTGTAGCTATCTTACGAGTAGTACGTTTATCACCCAAATCAATCGTTAGAAAGTGATTGTAAGTATTTTCGACCGGTGTCCAGGCCGAGTTGCCTTTTGTTAGCAAAATGTTATTAACAGTAAGTTAGAGAAGGTGAGTTAGAGTATATGCGTATTATTAGAAATAATATTTAATGTTAGTGTGGGTGTCAGTAAGAGAATAACAAAACAAATTAAAAACATAAAATTTGAACCAGAAGCCAATAAATACCACAATTTATTACATAAAAATACATAAACATTTTAACGCTATTTATTTTGGTGTATAGATATCGCACTTCTCTTATTGAACTCCTTCGTATGAGTAATTATAGCATATAATTTAGGCTTTATTATAGCCTAATTAACCTCAATCCGATTTGCAGTTTTTTTTTTTTTTTTTTTTTGATTAATTGCAACAGCTTACCTTCACATTGCCACCCGGCTCTTTATAATCTGCGAATTCTAAATCAGTTATGCCATAACTAATGGAATACTCAGTAACAAATTCATCGGTGCGAGATCTGCCCTGCAAAGCTATGTGTGTAACATTTTTAACATTCCCCAAATCGATAATCAAACGTTGGTCGAAATCTGAATTCTTAGCCGACCAAGATGTACCAGCTAAAATTGTTTTTATTCATTTATTCAATTATTTATTTATTCATTTATTTATGCATTTATGTATTTATTTATTTCGTTTTAATAGAAAAATGATAAAAATTAAATTAAAAAAAAATAAACAAAAATTCAGTCTGAAGTAAGATTTATGAAACGTCAATAATAATGCTTGCGTTGTATTTTAATAAACTAGTTATAGAATTTCTATAAAACTGGAGTTCGTGGAAGAGAATCACACCTAAACCATTTCGTCGACGTAATTGAAATCATACTCTGTCGACTCTTTCTTTTTCAATTCTCTTAAAATTCTCTTAAAAAAGAAAAAAAAATCCACGCCTTTATTATGGTAAGGTCAACATAAAATCGGACTAGTAGCTTAACCTAAAACAAATTTCAAATCAACATTTATTAAAAATTATATAAATAACTATTTTTTATTTTTCTTTTGAAGTTGATGAAGGCCAGTCATTTTTCAGCTCGACCTGCTGTACATTTTATTAACTTATTTATATACATACGAAATTCGGCTAAAATAAATTAACAATCGATTTTGATTGACTTACAAATAAAGTTTATGTTAACCATAAAGTCGATAGTGCTTCAAGATTTTAGGCTTGGTATTTTTTTTATCTGGCTAAATTAATAATAATATGACTTAACTATTACAAAGGAAAGAAGAATAATGAAAAAATGAAGAGAAAAAAAATTCATATATAAACAAAAGAAAATCAAAAGCGTGTACACATCTAGCGCAGAGGCAAACCCGCAGCCGCTACAGGCCCGAATTGGGAATGATTCCATTAGCCGTTACAAACATGCACGCGATCGGCAAACGAAATTCAGTCCAGTTTTCCAATCATACGGAGATTACAAGATTAAAATTTAATTTAGATGCGACATGGGCAAAGCGCGCGTATTAAGAGAGACAATTAATTTCATAGAGTTTAAAGAATCCGATATTGAGAAACTATTATATGTACAATTTTTTTTTTAACTTAAAGAAGAAACCCTCCAGGACAAATCCACTTTTCTCTAGTGGCTATAAGGCTAACAAAAGCAATCTATTTTTATGGAAGCCAAGAGACAGGAATTACTTTTGAAGAAATTCTATTGAATCTATCCAACATCTGCAGGGATAAGACCATACAACAGAGGCATGTTCAGGTATTGGCCTCACCAAGCGAATGTATAACCTTTTTATAACGTAATGGCGTGGGGATGCCCTAAGTTTATTTAAGGCGAGCTTAATCTGCTGATTAAAACGTAGTCCTTGATCGAATAAAATCAATAAATCAATGAACAAATGCACATTTAACAGTTTTTTGAATTTATGAAATATTCCATAGTGAACAAATATACATATACATCAATTTAAAAGTGTATATGTCAATCATTCATTTTTGATCTAATTTGTAAGAATTCTTATAATTCACAGATTCGCATCTAGTAAGTAAGTAATAGGGGAGTAGAAGGTTTATTTATGTATATGCTACGTATACTTCTCGATAATTCATTGTATTCTTTGTGGATAGAAATGATATTTATATCAAATAGTGGAAAGGAAAGTAATGCAGAGTTAGAAGCGTTTGGAATTTTAAATTGATTTCGCATTCTTCTAATGTGCAGTCAAATCAGTGTCAAATCAAACTGATAAAACTTACATTAAAAGGTATTATAAAGTCGTAAAATATATCGCTAATTAGAACACTATCAACACTTAATAATCACAAAAAATACACTACTTTTAGTTATGCAAATTTGTCTTCGCTTATTATTTTTTTCTCTTGTAAACCACATGTAGATTATTTTCTCGGTTTTTTTAAAACATTCCGACAATATTCCATAATTTCATCGTCACCAGAAACAACCAGAAAAGGTTTAAGTAATTGCGAAATTTCTAATAGTTCAAATTTTCCTGCTCCTGGTCGGCAATTACGGAAAGCTATAGCTGCGCAATAATCTGCGCTAAGCATGTGCTCCTCAAAATACCAATTATGCATTGGAACACCATTTAATTTTAAAGTTGTGCTAGTTAACGGAGAATTCTCATATGTTAACTCCATATCATTGTCTAGGCCAAAACTAATTTTTTGTAAATCAATTGTAATACCAACTCCCAATTCTTTGACATAGGCCTCTTTTAAACACCAATGCCGCATAAAGGCTTTTATTTGGTCATGCCGATTATTATGAGATTGTTTTATATAACGCCACTCAGTATCAGAAAATTTGTTGTGCATAATATGGAAAAAATGATGTAAATCTTTGCCACCAGAATACTCAAGTTTCATGACGTCTACACCCACTCCAAAATCCATAATTTCTGCAGAGCATTTATAAATACCACATAATATCACGAAGCTGCCTTGATGTGATACATTAAAACTAAGATGATGCGCGTCTTCAGCTTTATCTCCAAGCCAATATGGCTTTCCTCTCACATCGCGCGAAAATGCAATGTTATCATAAACCAATCCAGTACACAAACTGACATATCTGCGCATCAATAAACGGCCAACGAGCGATGAAAGAAAATCATCAATAAAATGGAATTTTAACAATCTCACCCGTTCTTCTGTTTGTATCACGCGCACTGCTTGTGCCAATTGTGTCAATGTTGGTGTCCAAGTGTTCAAATCAAATGCCCATCTAGTGCAGAATTTTGACGACATTTTGATTAAAATTCTGTGCGCGAGCTCAACTAGTTCAATTGTTTGGTTTTTTTAGCAATTTTCACATTTTCTCGAAAAGTGCAGTTATATCTGTTTGTCCTTTTTTGTCAATTAGTAGTATTGATAAGTAATGTTAACTCAACGCACCCAAGATGCGGTTTTCTTCAAAATGGTGCATCACCTGATATTAAGCGAAAATGCTATTATTTAGAGATTTTTCAACATAACAAGATAAGCTTTAAAGCAAAACACATATTTAAAATCGAAGTGAACCCTACTTTAAGCTAATCTGGTCAGTGCTCATGTACATTACCGTTTTCTAGAATAGCAAAATTTCGCAAATAGATGGACGCGTGTAATATATTTTTTTTTAAATATATAAAGTTAGTAACTACAATTCTTCACTAAGTAATTTTGTTATTTATTTTGTAACTTACGTGATGCGAAAGAAATATTTAAGTTGTTTGTATGAACAAATTAAAAAGCGCTAAAAAGGAAATATCTGTATTTTGACAACATTTATACTCTGTGAAAATGGCAATGTTGGATAATGTCAAATACTTTCAAGTTTTATTTAACTTGTATACAGTCGGAAAAATAGAAACAATACATAAATCACAAATTTTTCCCAACAAAAATTGTAGACTGTAAAAGCACTCAAATGCCGGCTTTTTTAAGAAAACTGCAAATAATAACGCAAACGTATGACGTACTCTTTGATAAGAGAATGCATTCCATCTATTTGCGAGCACGCTGTATCTTGCCATACATGAATGTATTAAAGTATGTTGTCAATTCTAAGGTGGTCGGAAGGTTTTTCAATGATTTTCAAACGTTCATAGGAAATATTTTCATAAAGTGTCAGTTCAGTAACAAACTACAAGGTGGACTAAATCCGGTTCTTCAGTTCCTCAACAGCCCAAGTAATCTAAAAAGTTTATGACGCCCATTGTTAAGGATGCAAACGAAATTCCTGAACTTCCTGAAATTTTTTTCCAGTCATTCCCCGCAGATAAAAAGACTTATAAGAAAACACGTGATTTACGGAAGAAATTCATTTTTGCTTAACAAACAATGGGCCGGCTCACCAAGTTCTCCTGGTAGTAGTAAAATTGAGCGAGTTAAAATAGAAATTGAAATACAAAAGCATCCGCTGTACGTCAAAATCTCAAAAGATTCTCACGAACAAAACATCTTTCAACAAATGATACAGCAATACCAGACGTGGAAAACAGTTTTGAGCACTCCTTGCAAAACTCTGAGCAAAGAATATATGAATAAGACAGTTGCGGGAATCGTTGGAAAAGGTGTACTAAGTTTGAGAGAATGATAGAAGCAACTGCAATCAAAATCTACATTGTTTAATTTGTACGCTAATACACACTGACCAACCTAGTAAGTTGGAAGTTGTACTTTAAATTACAAGTGAACACCAAAGTCGGCATGCTGTCTATTCTACAATTATTGTTTACATTCACAACTATTTTTAGTCCTTATATGCAACAAAATGTAAAAAATTTTAATCTGCGCATTCACGCAAACATCAGTACATCATTTTTTTTTTTATTATGAGAAAACAGTGTTTCATGGGATCGTTGTGCTTTTTAAAACATTTAATACATTTAAAACATATTGTTCTTTTTTCTGTTTATTCATCATTCAAATGAAATATCAAGTTTTTTTTTTTTTTCATCTGAACACCAAAATATGTAATGATAGATTAAAACTTCGCTTTTTTAAAATATGAATCAAATATTAAGTACCCGCAAAAGAGATTTGTTCAATTTAGACGGAGTTCCTTTTGCTATGTGCCGATTTGCAAACACATTTTTTACGTCTTAACGTGAACAACGAATTGCTAACAGGTTCAGGAAATTAAAAAAAACAAAACTAGTTTTCTAATTTCAATTTTGCAAAAGAAACTGCATAAATCGTATAAAGGAAAATGAAAAACTACCTAAATACAATCGAATTTTTACTTTAAAACAACCGAATATAAATAAAACTTACCATTTAATTTGGCTTTTTCGGGGCCACGATCGTTTAAAGCTGAAGTGGCTGTTAAAACAGCATTATCCAAAAGCGGTGTACTGCACTCATAATCCGAAAAGTAGTCATTGTACGAACCTACAAAAAGGAACAAAACGCAAATTGATTAATTTGCTTTAAATCGACTTAAGATAAATCGTAAATTGATAGTTTATCCTAAAATGGAATGATAGAAAAGCTTGTAACGATTCTCTTTATAGAAATATTGCTTAATGAGAACCCAAATTGAAAACATTTATATATATTTATATATTTATTAATTTATTGACGTTTATGTAACCTCGAAACCGTTAAGATCTGTTATAATACTTTGCAATATCGGTGCAGTAATGAAGTAAAATGATATAAAATGTTCCTAAACAATCTAAAAGAGAAGAAAGGAAAATTGAAGGGGAAGAGAAAAAAATAAATAATAAAAATGAAAAATAGAAAAAAAAAAAAACGGGAATCAAGAAGGTAACTAGACTAGTATGAAAGGAAAGAACACATACCACAACAACACAACTATCTCAATACTAAGTAACTAGCTATTATTATATATTATTATTATTATTATTAATTTCGCCAGAGAAATAAATTCTAAGATTAAACTTTTAAAAGCACTAGCATCTAAGACTACGGCTTTTATTAAAAGCTCCACCGCACTTGAGATTCGTACTCACGACCATCGACTTGCTAGTCGAGATTTCTCGCCTTTGGCCTCTCAGGCGGATAAGTAACTAGCTAATTTCATTGTTAACGGCGAAAATTAAAAGTTTTCGTTTTTAAGTGAGATAAGAGCATCTAAATCGTCGAAACTCGCGTATCAATAAAAATTTATTGCGAATAGACCTACTAAAAGAAAAAAGATTGTAAAGCTCCTTAGCCTCTACCGTAGAATAATGTTATAGAAGTCAAGAAATCTAACTTTAACCGCCTCGGGGAGAGTTGATATCTAACTATACGATTACATAATAGTCTTAGTTTCCTCAGATTTGAGGTATTCGTGGAACTATAAACTTCTAGGGCATAAATTATAAGCGGTATAATTAAAGCTTTGACAATTCTAACTTTGATTTAGATGGGCATATAGACATACAAAAAATAAACCTCTCTAAGTGCGAAATGAACACGAGGACACAGGGAATTTATGTATGCATTAAAGCGTAATTTATCATCAATAATCGCCCTCAAACATATCAAGCTATTTACAATTTCAACATTGGCACCATTTCCCCTTAATACAAGATTCAGATGTACATTCGGGGGTCGACAAAACTATGACAAGTGTTTTAGCCCAATTGTCCTCAAGGTGGTCAATGTTGGCTTGATATCCTTCGAAATGATCAACATTTACCACAAATAAAAGCAACGAATCGTGAGCAAATGCGTAGGCCTTACCCAAACGTAGGTTAAGCATGCTAAAGAAATCATTCATGTACAAAGAGCCAATGATCGAATCCTAAGACACACCACTTGACAACAGACTCAGACTTAGCAGTAATTGCAGATACAAAGTTTAAACGGTCCGAAAGATAGGATTCTATCAGAACAACAGCTGACTTCGAAAAATCAAAGTTCCGCACGAGTTTATGAATCAAAAGCACATGTGACACCCTATCAAAAGCTTTAGTTAGCTTCAGCTATACTCTTCTCGAAATTCATGCTATGACTCAGAAAGTATTGTGTTATTGTCAAGGTGGTCGATAATTTGTTCCTTAATTATATGTTCAAAGACTTGAGAGAATAGAGAAAATTGAAATCGGACTGAGATCCGACGGATCAAGCGACTTGCCACTTTTCCTGATAGGAATAGCACAAGCACATTTCTAGTCCGAGAGAAATTTAGATTTAATGAGAATGGGCTTAATAAAATATAATGTACGAACATCAATCCAGGACCAAATTATTTTCAAAAACTTAAGAGCGAAACCATCCATTCTTGGCGCATTTGATTTTATCAAAAGGTGGAACATACTTATCTCACTAAAGAGGAACAGACCGTCACAGTCATTTAAGTTTGGCCAATTTTTAGCAGTGTTGAATTGATTGTTGAGAAAATGCAACATCCAGACTTAAACCTTCACTACCCTTAAACCCAAATTGGCGTAATTCACGCGACAGTTGTTTATTGTTTGAACCTCTGAAAGTTATCAAGTGAGCATTTCTCCTGCACTTTCTAATAACATATTTGGGTTTACTCCTTTAAACTTAATAGGTTCTCCAATTTAAATATGTGCACCTTAATGAATCTTTCCTATCCTCTGCCTTACGCGACTTTGGTTATCAATCCAGTACAAATATTTCAAAAGTCTAATACAAATTGTGTAAAGAAGAGAATGTGGGTATTTTTGTATAATTTTAATTTAATTTATTTAAAATTCGTACGATATTCGATGCATAACAGCTGCAAAGAAATTTTTGTACATTAACGTAGACCTACGAGCTAGCTTTGGGCCACCAGTTCAAAAATTTTCACGTTGATTTTTCTTTGAAAAAAAAATCATAAAACGTATATTACATTTTTCCAAGTTTCGCTACAATCTCTTCGAGAAAATATCTCGTCTTTTAAACTTATGTTTACTGTTCATATATAATTTCTTTCTGATCTGATCCAATCCGCGATTTAATTTTAATATCCCATCTTTAAGACAAACCTCGGGAAGAAAGATCTTATTACTGAAAATATTAGCATTTTTAAGTATGCATTTCAGATTGATTTTGGCTGTAGACGCTTTGATAACAAATGCGAGTTTTATCTACCAATTGACAATATTTACCGTACGCTAACATTTAGTTCGTTCCCCCATTACCAAAACTATATTGCAAAGTACTAAAATACACTCCCTCAAAGTCTTATATTCCTTTTTTTCAAAATGAACTTAAAACTTTGTAGAAGCAAAGGTAGAAGTACCCTTGGAAAACTGAAGCATTAAAAACAAATAAAAGAGGAACTCTTACACCCAAATTTCTTCCCTTATACACATAAGTTCCAGATCTTCGCGTCTTTTTATAATAAGTATTGGTTTTGTTTTATCGTCACTTAACACACATGCAGTTCAGCAAAGTTGTACATACGTTTGTTTAACAGCGTTTACATATTTCATCAACCCTCGAATGCATGCTAAACACATATATCGATATTTTAAGATGTTTGCTTTGAACTGCTTTTTAAGAAAAGTATGTGCATAATACATCGATTAAACGGGATATTCCTCCTGTGGAAACACAACATTCATATTGCAATGTTTAAATACACATTTATACACGCACAACTAAATTTTGTATCTTGAGTAGATCGTTTAATAATAATAATCACCCTTCATTTATCATGTTATTTATTTTTATTAAGTCACTAACTTCAGTGGACATGAAAAATATCTGTGAATGTTATGCTCTAAAAGCGCAAGAACTGAAAATATATGCTCTTTATTAATTACGAACACGAATTATTCCATGATTACTTTACAATAACAAATAATTTGACACGTGAGTGCTCATAATAATGCAATGAATCATTAATCATCTTCACTGGGCACGCCCAATTATCTCAAGATTCAAGCAAATATTTATTTTTACAATTAATTTTACATAATTTTATGTTGATTTACCTGCATTTGTCGAGCCAATAATTGGCATTAAAAGTACAACGCTGGACAGTAAGATATTTGTTAACACTAATTTCCACATAGTTCTTATTTGCTTTGCATACATAGATTTCAATAATTTAATGTTTCTGCCTGCAAAAATTTCAAAATATATCCATAGGTTACGTTTTATTTACGGAAGAAATGAATAACATTGTTTTAAATAACAAAAAAAATTTGCTAGAAAAACGCTTATTTGAGCAATAAACACTTTGATGGCGCATGCATAAAATAAATATTCACAATACGAAATGTAAATGCTTAAAACATTCAATGTGGGTTCTTTGGTCTAATTCTTTTAACTCCAATAAACTTCTGTAATTTATAATAATTTTTCACTCGACTGATGACAAAAATTAAACACATTTATATCGTACATCTAAGCACTACAAACTTTAATACGGTATTGTAATCGAAACTTAAGTTTACTGACAAATGGCTACACTCCAATTTGTCAAAATTTAAGTTTTAGTAACCCTAACATAGAGTTAAGCTAAGAATGAATGTGTTTCACCAGTGATGAAAACATAGCTTATGTAAAAAGTATATAAATTTGTCAGAGCGTTTTAATGTTAAAAAGGTCTACCTAAATAAATACGGTCCATACTGAAATTTGTCTTTTTTTACACATATTTATTCCGAAAAAGGCATCATTCTTTCACGTTAAAATATTTGATCACCTTACAATCTTAAAATGTCAAAATGGCTCTGGTATTAAGAAACGTCTAATTAATGTTTAATTACCAGAAAAATATATTTTTTTAAATAGAATGTGGAATTCGCTTGTGACTACTGTTACAGCGAAAGCCACTTTCCAACTTGGCAAACGAAATGATAGTTGTTTAGGAGATGAAAAAAAGCAAATAGGTGTAAGCTGATCGAAAGAAAACCATAATAATTTTTTTTTTGTTATGCAATTTTAATAATTAGTGTAAAATGTACCAACGATTCAAGGGTAACTTCCAGTGCATTCCCTAAGCCATGTATAAGACATTCAACGAATGATCATATTAAAAATCGTTTAATTTGAAGAATATAATCAAGCATATGTGAAAAGTCAACATACATAGTTACATCGTAAGTTATTGACAAAAATGTAATTCAAAGTGTCCACTTTTCTCCTACAGAGCCATTTTTAGTAGTGTATGGAACCCACGAGTCCACCTCCACGTTTTGCGACAAATTGGTGGTCGAACCGCCGACATTAGGAGGTTGACGCAATGAGACGTTATTCCTATTTTCGGATTGGGACTCCAACTTTGCCGACTTTTTATAAAACTATGGAAACTGACAAATCATAAGATTTTGCATGTGTGCTTACAAATAAAACAAAAAAAAAATACAAGAAGAACGATGGTCGTTTTTTTATTTTACGTTTTTTTTTACAGTAATGTACATAACTTGCAATTTTTGTATACATCATGCATTATTTTGAAAGAAATGGAAAACAAACAATAAAGACCATTAAGTTTCCAAATGATGGATCAGTTAATACTCAAAGGAGCTCTAGACGGTGTGATAAAATTTAAGCAGATTATGAAGATTAACAAAATCGTTATTTTTTGTTGTGCATGTTTACGCCGTTTTTTCTTTGTTTCCAACATAACATGTTTTTGTTTACATTTTTTGTAAACTAATATGTTGTTTACAAGTTGAAAGTTTTAACTCGGAAACGAAAATGATGCCGCATTGTGTCAGCCCCATTAGGTCTTATGTCCTTTACAAGTAGTAAACACAATAAACCATATTATTTGACAATCGACGTTACCATATTATTTGACAAGAAAAATAAAGAAACCGATGCAAATGTAAGTAAGTAACATATGGTTTACGAAGTAAAAAGAAAGAAATCCACATGAATGTAAACACCCAATTATTTGAAAAACCATAATTAAAAAATTAAAAATAAGATTTGATTGAATAATGAAACAAAGAATTAAGAAAAACAAAAGTTTAGAGGAAGCAGAATGGACACAGCTGAACAAAGCAAAGGAGTTACTTAAACGTTTTAATTTGAAAATATTATATTTCAAATTCAAAAGAAATCGTCTACGTTGTTTAATTTCCATACCTCATATATTTCGTTCCTGATTGAACGAATCATGCTTCTCGGAAAAGCACAAGTTTTGGACAAAAGTTTGAAGCTCCAAGGCCTTCACTCTACCTAGCAGACCTTTCTGCGAGGGATTCGAAAGGGGTAAGGTCTCGCTACTGCTAATACGTGAAGATATTCGTGAAAATAACATCAATATACACTCTCAACAACCCGAAGAAGCAATTCGGTGCGCTTGCCATGCATTTTTGTTGCCAAAACCTGTACCGAAATGAGTTTGAATGGCCGCCATCTGGTTTTTCTCTTTACATCGGTTTCTAATAAGAATTCCCTTTTGTTGAGAATGGCGAGAGCACAGAAAACACAGAGTTGTTTTCAATAAATGCAATCCTCTACCGTGAAAAATATCCCCGACATGGAATCTATTTCATACATGTTTGCACTCGTAAATATCTTCTATAATGAAAAATTTCCCCGACGTGGAAACTAATTCACACATGTTCATACACATGAATAATAAAAATGCCTCAACTTTTAATAAACGCGAAGAAAAACTCAAGGAAGCAGAACAAAACAAATTTTCGATTCTGATTGAGTTTGAGTCTGAAAAGTCTTGTTTAATATTTTGTCTCTGTTCTGCATACACGTTCTATATTCAAGTCTTTTACAACGTTTCTAGAAAAGTTTTTTTTATTCATATCTCATTTTCTTTTTTCCAGAAAAAAGGTTGAATACTTTTGCTATTCACTGAAAACAAAATAAATGTTTGATAAAAAAAGGGAAGTTATTTATGAAATGATTTCCGAGATCCTCGAGTAAATCAAATCTTGTGCGACAAGCAAAAGTTCATGAGGAATTTCGTATTGAATTTGCCTAACGATTTACAAAGTCGTCCATGTCATTGCTTCAGTTATACTAAAATTTTATACTTGAAGTTGAAAACATTTTAACAAAAGCAGCTTGTTTCACTTAACTTAGGTTAGGCATAGACTGCTTACTCCTTTTCGATATTATCAAAAAAGATGCATAACCACCAATTTTTCTTTTCTTTTATCTCCGGGTTGTTAAAATTTTCGTAACATTTTTTTAAATTTTATTGTGATAAGGGAGCAAATGTTGGAAATTTACTTTTTCTTTTATTTTAGTTTAAAGCGTAGTGTCTGTTATGTTATGAGTACGAAAGTGCTGGTGTTAATTTACAAAAGATCAAATAATATACAGGAATATATAGTTTAAAAATGTCTGCGAATAAAATGACAGGGCAGCGACTTTATGAAAGCTTGTTTTTATGGCAGCCGCTTGAACGTATCCACCAACGTAACTGAATTTTTAACTGATTGAAGACCGGTTCAAACTTCAAATGTAGCTTCACTCTAGTCAAAATCTAAAATTCTTTAGGAAATATTTTTTAATTCCAAAAAAAAAACTGTCTACAATCATCTATTAAAAGCGAAAAGGTAAATTAAACGAAATTCTAAAACGTATTTCATTAGAGAATGTTATTGTTAAGAGGATGACAGCTGATTTTTGAAATCAATTCATTGACAATCGAAGTGCTATCAGCTCGAGATCAGTACCTTTGTTGTAGTTAAATGATGTTTGTAAGCAAGACCTGCCTATCTAGTCATCATAACCTGGATTGCACTGGTCACAACTCGTTTATAGAACTAAGAATGATGTCAGAAAAGACTCATATGCTATCAATAAGATTATGTATTTCTGGCAAAAAATAAAATGCGATGAAAATATTAGTCTACCCGAGAAGCTGTGCTTATGTGAGTTCATATATATACAGATCTTGCCAAACAAAAGTCCGTGCTGTCTGGGGGTATCCAGCAACCGTCACTTTTGGAGAAGAGGCATTTGCACTACCGCTTATTCGTGCATATGAACAACATAGAACCCCTCTTGCCTATGGTTTTGAAACCGGAGCTGGAGGAAACGAATATTTCAATCATCTAAAGGCTTTCGATTCTTAGGAATTGATTTTAAGAAACTTGATAAGTCATTACCAGCTTGGCTTATTGAAGTTGCATTTGATACATTGGTTGCAAATTTAAATTTCAAGAAGTATGAAGATCATGGAGTCCCAATACTTAGAAGCTTAATTAGGATGTTTCAAGTTGTGAAGAAGTATTGAATAAATACTAATATCCAGATGTGCAATGGTGAACGTTATATGAAAAGATCCGGTTTAGCTAGTGGTAGTTATTTTACACAACTTGTAGGGAGCATTTGTAACTACGTTCTCCTTACTTATGCAGCTCTTAGGTGCGATTTGCATATAAATGACATTTTAGTATTTGGAAATGACTCCATCATCAGTACCTATGATAAAATCTCTCCAGACGATATCCAGTCGGTGCTAGCTGATCTCACCATAACTGTTTATATAGAAGAGTCTGGTTTCTCTTCCAACATTTCAAACTTCTCCCTTCTCGGTTATCAAATTAACTATGGACATCCACTAGAGGAGAGGGAGAAGGCTATTGCTAGTTTGGTATGGCCTGAGCGTAATGATAAGTGTTGGGATAGTACAGCGTCAAGGGCACTTGCAATTTTGCAAGCGAATTTATAAACCAACCCTTAAAATTATATAATATAAAAAATATTCAAATTAGCATAACATTCTTTTCTTTTTGTTTTCGTTGTTTATTTGCGAATTTGCGAATTTCTGTAAAGTGTCATAAGAATTTAATAAAGTTGAATTCGCATTCCGCAAAACATTATTACGCTTGATTCTTTAATAATGTATTTCGCTTGTTTATTTGTTCATCAAAAGAAAATGAAACTGCCTGTTCCGTAACCAATAGAAGAGAGGAAAAAAAAGATTGTCCGAAAGCATTATACACATGAAGCATATATTATTTAGTTGAAATTAGAAAGGCAGCAAGAAGCATAAGTTGCTTGTTATTTTTATGATCAATAATTTTTCTACATATTTCAATATCCCTAATTACTATATGCTTATTTATAAATATAAATTATAGCCAAAAAGAAATCATAAACAGCATCATAGGATCGAAAAGATCGATACGACCATTAATTAATAACATTCCATTCATAATTCGCTCAAGCATTGCTAATGCTAATAATGGATTGAGAATTGATATCAGAAAATAGGGAGAAAGACATTTTAGTAGTGGCGTGCAGCGTGTAGAGGGTGTAGAGGTAGTTTAAATTCGGCTTCGTCAAAATTAGGGTGATCGGTCGCAAGAATTGTAACATACTTTGTTATAATTCTACGGCGTATAAAAACGTATAAACTACAACCAACTATGTCAAATGTGATTGTATTCAGATTCAACGAAGCTTTTACAATTTGCAACCCAATAACTTGGTTTTTACAAACAGGAGAATATTTGCCATAGATAATGCACAGACGGGTAGGCAAACATGCTTATATCGATTCAGATTTTTATACTAATCAAAAATGTACATACTTTGTATGGCCTCTGAAGGTTTTTTTTTTTTTTGGGTAGCAGAACGCTTTTGCCAAATGCATCGATTGGTGCGGTTTGGAATATTTACAGGATTTCGATGCATTTGATTGCTTTGATTTGTATACTTTGAATTCTTTCTTTAATTTTTCTTTATACATTTTCTAATTTCGAATGTTTGTATTGTTTAAGTATTCTAGGCCTTTGTATCGTTAAGATTGCTTTCGAAAGCTCCATAGCTATTTTACTCTGCCTTTCTTTCACTTTTATATGGACTAGAGCTCACGTTCCGTTTCAAACTAATTGGCATTACTTCTAGAATTTTGGAAATCTAGTTTCGGGAGCTGCGTCTTTGTTTTTTTCGCTATATGTTAAATACCTTCGGACGCATTTATTACCATTTTGTTTTCATTTCAAAAAATTCCGAAAGAATACAATCTTGTCAAATTTTGCTATGAGCCTCTCATTGCCAGATTTTCAATTCTTTTTCCATACATAGAGCAGAGTTTAAATTATCTGTTTGCGAATTATTTTTGAACTTCTGGCCTAATTTTGTTAGCAAAACTGAAAATTAGATATATCTTATTAAAAATAAGGGCAAAGTAACCAAAATGTTTTTGATTTTTTATTTTTTATATTCCTTTCTTTTACAAGTAAATGTCGAAAATTGAGACAGTGTTTAAAAAATTTGTCTTTCAATTTTGAAAGCTCATAATTATTTTTGTATTCCCGAAAAATATATATGATAACATACGCGCAGAGAATATAGAATAGGAATGAAGCGAGGTGATTTATTATATATATTCATATGTTTTGTTGTGATATTTATTATTGTGCCGCAATATAGACATCCGTAATATTTCTTATATAACGGCTGATTTCTAATATTTCTTCTTAGGTATTCCTACCGCATTGGAGTTCATTGCAAAAGCTAAAAAGATTTATATTGAGCGCTTAATAGGCTTCTTCGAAGTTATTGCTAAATTTGAAACAGCGACCAAGTATGAAATTTTGAATGAAAAACATGAAATTATTTATTATGGGTTTGATATGTCAAGTTGGGCCTACTCAAACACTCTAGTAGTGGTGGACCTAAATGAGCAGAAGGAAATATTTTGTATGCAACGGCCGTTTCGATTGAAAAATTGGTGCTTACCTTGTTGTTTACAAAAATTGATAATATTTTATCCGAACGGTTGTCTGATCGGCGTAATTGAACAAAAATGGTCATTAATTAGAACAGCCTTTCGCATACGAAGTGAAGACGGTGATATTGTGATGCGTGTTCGAGGCCCATTTTTTACGTGTTCGTGCCGCGGAGATGTAGTTTTTCAAGTAAGAAAGTTATGCAAAAATTAGTTAGCCGGTCGCCATAAATACAAATCGTACACATTTAAGATTGACACACTTCAAGGCCAAAAAACGGCAGAAATCAGGAAGCAGTGGCCTGGATCTTTACCCGATGATGAAAATGCGCAAGCGATTTTTGATGCTGAAGTTTGTGGAATTGTCTTCGAAATACCACTAAGTGTGCATGAAAAATTATTGATTCTAGGTGCAGCTTTTCTTATAGTAAGTCGAATATTTATACTGATCATATAATTATTCTTGGTTTTGCTTTATGTTCTTTTCTGTTTTTGTTTCAGAATTATATGTTCTATGAGTAATGACTTCAAACATCCTCATCGTATGTATAACACGTTATATAAAAATATATCAAAAAAATTCTTTAAGAAAAAAATGAACTAATTTTGAATAAATAATGTTGAATATGCGATGAGCTGAAATTTATATAGAAGATTAGTGACGGTCTTCTCGCTTTACAAAAAATTGATTTTAGGTGCTGCACTCATTGTAGAATGTTTACTTTCCATAAAATTAAAAATGTCTGAATCGATTTAATGATGTCCGTCTGCTGTAAATATGATGATGGAATCATTTTCAAATTCGGAGAAAAAGCGTATTACTATTGAAATAATGAGTAAAAAGACATATCCACAGTACACCGAACTAAGAAAAAAACTTTACTTTCAAAAGCCAAAAAAATTTAGTTTTTTTGCTCATTTTACTCGTAAATAACTGTAGACTACTTAAAAATATATTTTTACGCCAATAAAATTAATAAATGTGTAAGCAGTAAGTACGTGAAATAAAGATGAATTATGAATATGATGAATAAAACTTCTTTTCAATTATAATATATTCCTTCATAGGCTATTTTCGCCGAAATTTATCGAAGCATTTGATGAACATAAAATTTAGAAAAGCGGAACTTTTAATTGCGTTTATTCATTGTGTTTTGGCCAATGGGAAGAAGTTATTTTTCGTTATCTTTCATTCAGTAAGCAAACATTTGTTGTATTATAACAAAATGTCAGAATCATATGTCTTTTGCTTACTTTTTAGAGTTTAGTTGAAACTGTTGCTTATATCTCGCGTTTAAAATAATTTAGGAGCCGTTCTATATTTAACAAAAAATTCTCGATGCCGTCTTCATTACAACTGAGAACGAACAACAATTTTTACAGTTCGTATTGTGGAAATCATTAATGTAAATATTATGCATATGCATATGCGCTTGTAAAAGGGAAGGTAAACAAAAATGTCAATTTGATAGTAAATTATGTCTGGATTATCAATATGAAAATTTGTGGTAAAAGCAAGAAGTGTAAAGAAATAAACATTAATAACGAACACCCTAATATTCTTGCAAGTCAGCCAAGAGTGATTCAGTGTTTCTTTATCGATGATTCCGTATTACTTATTATTTTAGGAAAAAATAAACGGTGACGTCGTCGTCGTCAATTTGTATATCGCACATGTGTACGAGATTGTGTTGCTTTCTAACAAATATTTTGTAATAATAAAATCTATTTCTCTTAATGTAATCAAATTTAAAATTAAATTTCTCTTGTAGTTATTATAAATAATATCCTGCTTTTAAATAAACATTCAAATGACACCAATGAACAATATAAACCAAGGCGGTTATGTGCCACCAGGATATGGGAGTGAATATCCTACGGCTCCTCCAGGTCATGCATATAATATGCCCAACGCTTTGCCTATGAATCATGTAAGTAGTTTAAAATTTATATCATTTTAAATTCGAACAAAATACATTGACGCTCAAAGTAAATTACAAGTTTATCAGAACCGCCCCCTTTTTCTCGAATAAGCTGAGTAAGATAATTGTTTGTGATATTATTGATCGTTCTACTCAATTTTCTCAAATTGCTTAGGATCTAACGATTAACTGATTAACTGATTTATGTATTATTGTGTTATTATATTTACTACCAAAATATTAAATCAATCTTTTCGTTTGCAATAAGTAAAGATACGGATTAAATATCCTTAAAGCGTTATATACATTTGATCAGCGACAGTTTATTTGGCATTCGACGGTAATTTCAATTCGCTTGCAGGCAAAAGTTACGGAAGACTGTTGAAACTTGCAAAAGTATTCCCAGTTATTATTATTATTATTATTATTATTAATTTCGCCAGAAAAATAAATACAAAGACTAAACTCTTAAAAGCACTAGGCATCTAAGCCCATCGGCTTTTATTGAAAACTCTACCGCGCTTAAGGATTCGAACCCACGACCATTGACTGGCTAGTCGAAATTCCTCGCCTTCGGCTACTCAGGCGGATGTATTCCCAGTTAATGATTACATATTATATTAAAAAGAAAAACATTCTGCAATATCCAAGCTATTAAATAGTAATACGATTTTAGTTTACAAGTCAACGTACGCACTAAACTATCAATCATCAATTTGATCAATTATTTGACAAAATCATTTAAAATTTCAAATGCAAGAATGGCTCTGCTCTACATACATATTTACAACAGACAAAATAATTAAATTATTACTCTCATTAATTGCGAATTGGTTACCAACTTTCAAGTGTTTATTACGAATGCGAATAAATTGTGCAGTTTATAGAATTAAGATGGTTACTATTAATTAACCTTACTCCCATTTTCAAAGAAGTCGGACAATTAGTTGGTAAATTTACCTTTACTTTTGTAATTAGACATATCGATATGTGTGTAAATATGCATCATGGGGCACATATATTTTTGGATTGGCTTCGCCATATCTACGTCTCTGCCGTTTGCTAACGTAACACATACTGTTTCGAAAACTGAATATATTAGCTAAGAGAAAGAAATTTAACTTACAGCAAATATTAATATTGGCGCAGCAACAAGTTATATTGAAAAGTGTAACGAAATTTTATTTTAAAAAATTGCACCTGATCCATTGTAATCATACTTCCAATTTTCTCCACTAACGCCCCCATTAAACTATATTAACAATTCCAAATATTTTAAATGTCTTTTCAAGGTAAGCGGATCATTCACTGTATATGCCTCCATCACGGGTCTTTAAATATGCAACGTTAAGTTTTTTCAGATGCAATAATTCTTTCTAAAGTAATGACGAATATCAATATGTTTGAAGAGTGGACAATAAGTGGCATTCTGTGTTGCTTCAGTGCTTTTATCACTCTTATTATCACCTTTATATCACTTTTTGTTAAAAAATTGGGACCTGTCAGCAAATTGTTCAAATGATAATGATGATTGCGACGCAACTGCCAAGGCTCACTAGCAAAAGGAATTTTAGTTAATTTAATTACTTCGTAGATATCGATGACATGAGAAATGCATGGAATTCGGAAGCGTATCCAAATCGCTTTCGGTTTTCGGGCGACACCCTTTCACATTGAATACTGTTAAGTTGTAATTTGTAATTACTTGCTTCTTTCGATCTTTCAACATTTCCAAAAATTTTGCAATGTCCTTTTTCGGGATAGGTCCCGTATTGCAAATGTAATATCGGGACGATCTATTTAACCAGCACAGAAAATGTTGCCTATCGCATCTGAATATGGAAGTATCCAAATTCTTGCCATCTATATATCTTTACTTGTCATAAATTTTCTGAAACGCACTATCCAACTTCTTGATGCAAATTTTACTGGCCTGCTTTAGGCCGTACAGAGGATTTCTTCAGATAAGCAGCATATCTGTCTTTGCACTTTTTATTCCTGTGAAGTTTCTAATGAATGGTTCATGCATCTTCCGTCCAACTTGGATTCTTGAAAGAGTTACGATAATGACATCCATATTCTTAGGTTGGAGCGTACTGCTAAAGTAAGTTATGATCCCAAGTCAAAGAGCACTTATTTGGCTTGACGCCATTTGCTAAGCTTAAGCTTAAGCACTTAAGCTATAGGATTTTTTTCATTGCTGAGTGATAGGGCGAAATTTTGACATTCTGATCTCATGATCTTCAATTTCTTCTTTTGCATTAACTGAACTGTCTTCCATGTTGACGTTTTGCAATAATTTTAATATTCTTGTATCGCCACTTGTTTGCCTTATTGAAATCTTAGGGGAATTCAGCAAATATCATGGAACAGCTTAAACGTAGGAACTCTCAATTTATGTGCTGTTGAAACCATTTTGTTCACTTATGCATTGACACAAACGACCCGGTTCGTTCAGCTTTGTTGAAAAAAGTCCTTGTGTAACTTCGAGAAGACTGCACAAAGTTTTCCATATTTTATTTGCAGTAGTAAATAGACGAGTACGCAAATGATTACGAACAGTTCGGCTTTCGCCTGCATACTTAACTTGACTTCCTCCTATGGCCTTTCATTTAAAGATAACCCTCTACAGAAAATATTCAATCCCCAAAGTTTTCAATTTCGCACAGTTTTTTCATGAAATTATTATTCGATAATTTTTTTTTTATTTTTTCAAAAAATATTTCTTAATTAAAAGAAAAAAGTTTACATAGGAGCAAGCACATAGTCAATAATAATGTGTTTATATTAAATTAGAATATATATAGAAAAGTTATCATAATGTACCACTTAATGTGAAGCGAAACGTATTTTTAATTTTCCAGATTCATAATTTGATAGGTTTACATAAAATTTGAAAATATTTAAAAAAATAAAATTATTTCGTAGAGATGAGATTAACTGCGTGTTCACAAACAGTTAAATATGATGCAATAACTAAGTGGAATGACGTAGTATCAATACACAAAAAGTGTGAGAATTTTTCTTGATGAACATTTTCATGCACATGCCCCAAGATATTTAAATAATACTCTTTACTGACTTTCTGAGTCCAATTCGTAGTGAATAATACGAGCATAATGGGAAAGAAAACGTTGGCATGATTTTGCTTTTTGATTTTGATTTTTGGTGCATTATTCAGAAGATGTTGTCTGGTTTGGGTATGGTACATTATGGTTTTTTTCCAACGAAATAAAAGCATCGCTAGACAACGGTGTCATTATCAATTGATGCGCAATATGCCAAAGTTCGTATCGTAAAAGATATCGTAAGTTTTGAGTATTTTTTTTTTTTTTTTTTTTTTTTTTTTGTTTGTTTAGAGATGGATTGGACCAGTTAAGTTAATGTTAGATCCATAATCCAGAAACGAAGTTGAGAGCGATTGATGAAAAAATTTAAGCATAGGTAGACTGATGTGGCAGAGTGTTCGCAATGAGAGGCTCTGTTCCGCTGTCAATCCATAAATCACCGTCCTTGTTACTGTACTGTCAAGATCCGGCTAATAATGCCGATAAAAGAAAAAGTGTAGGCGATTCGTGATTGTAATAGAAATATTAAATGTAAAATTAGAATGAAAACTCAGCTGATTTGATAAAGGCAGTCAGTTGCTTCAAATGCCTAAAGTTACCAGCACGAAAGATTTCATATAGATTGTTATACAGGTTAAATATACTGAAAGATTGTCTAAGGATTTCAAACCTCCTGCACTCAAAAATAAGGTGCTCGGCAGACTCAGTAATATTGCAATCCTCACAGATGTCAGAGGAGGAGACTTTGATCATTTTAAAATAGACCTTGTCGTAGGTGTGATTACTCATAAGACGGTGAAGAACTTTAAATTCCCATGTTGTGAATTTTCCTTTAGGTAGAAGCGTGGGTGTCAAAAAAGGGTAAATTTTGTAGAACAGCCGGTCACTTTTTTCTCTAGCTAAAACATGATACTCATCTTTCCATTCTTTTATGATGAGTTTTTTGACTAGCAGAAAAGCTTCGCTGGGGGGGGTAGTTTATGGACAAAACTGTACCATCGAACCTAGCTTGACGAGCATGGAAGTCAGCTTTTTCATTGATACTAAAACCGCAGTGACCTGGGATCCAGATGATGTGGCATTTTTCAATACTTGGGTCTTTTAAAAGGTTGTAGATATCGAAGACATACTTATTGAATGGGTCTTTGTTCTTGATTAAAATTAGAGCAGATTTGCTGTCAGAGAAAACTACAAATTTTTTCAGCTTAATTTCAGATGCGTGGATGATTGCTTGTCTGATGGCCAGAAGTTCAATGAAAGTGGATGATAGTTCTTGTAGAACTTTAAATTTTCCTATAAGTAAGTTTGGGTATTCAATAATTGAAAAACTAGAGATGTCCGAATTGATAGATCCATCCGTTGCGTATATTTTGAAGTTATTTTCGACGAAGTGGTTAAGTTTTTGCAGACAAGCGATTCGAAGACAAGACCCTGATCGATTTTTTTTTGAGTTGGTGATTGAATTAAGTAAGTTTAATTCAACTACGCATTTATCATGAATAATATTATTCCAGGAGGGTATTGAGTTAACTTTATTGAAGATGTTACTGAATTTTTTGAAGCAGTTAGAGTAACTACTGATGACATGATTGTGTCTGGAAGCGACCTCGTCAAAGAAGGCAGGTTTGAAGATTTTTACCTTGAGAAGCTCTTTTGCAGTTACAAGATAAATTCTCTTAGCAACGGGGAGTTCATAAGAGATGGAACGTAAAATTGATGTTGGTGTTGAGGGGGACAAACCGGTACAACGTCTTAGGATTGAGTGTTGAAAGGTTTGTATTTTTTTTAATGTATACGCAGGAGCGTTACACGATGTAGAGTAGGGATATTCAATTTTGGATCTAACAATAGATTTGTAAACGTTTAATGCTTTCCTAGGTGGGAGTCCGGTGTGAATGTTGGTCAGAAGTTTGATGACATTTGAGCCTGACGGACTGATTTTTATACCATTGATTGTAATGTAAAAAATTTTTTTGGGACCCTTAGCAAAGCGAACGACTTTTGATTTTTCCGGGTTGAAAGTTAGATTTAAGTCTGCACAAAGTTTGTGAAAAAGAGTTTTGAGTATAACGAAATGGAACTGTTCGTAGTAAAATTTGTTCAACAGCACTGATCTGGAGGGTGCTCCTTCCCAATTTTTTACAACGTACGTTCAATTTTATTGAAAAATCAGCGTACAGTATTTATTTCGCGCTTTTAGTCTTTTGATATCAAGCGAATAAAAGTGTTATACGAAAACTGTACACATATCTTTATTCGACACGGCCACAACCAATAATTAATTAAAAACCTTGTTTACAAGATCTCTTCTCAGATATATGTACATATATTAAGTTTTCTCGGCAATTGTGGGAAAAATTCCTTTTTTGCTTATCTGTTTTCGTTAGTTATCCGTGGATATATGAATGAGCCGATTCCATTCACCCTGACGAAAGTAACCGAAAGAATATTAGAATTAGATTCTTTTTTTTTCAACAAGGCCGAGAAATCTTAATGATCATATCACAAAGCAAACGGACGTTAATCGTACGAACATTGCCATACGATAATATGCATCTTGTAAATTTCCATCTGAACGTCTTTAAATAATAAACAAATAAAGTCGACCGATTAATTGAAACGAACTTTTTAATCAAACAAGCTCGAATCGGTTCTTTTTGATCAAAGTATTTAGTGATAGCAGGATCTCTTCTCTCATATTTCAGTGAAAGTTGATATAAAATTTTGTTTTGTTGCCTTTTTAAGGGAGTTTTTCACACTATTCAAGTTCATTTTTTATGTTATGCCAGTTCATGGTGTAGCCGTTATGATTTTAGTTTCCATAGTACTATGATCAAAGGAAGGCTATATAAATTTTGAGAATTTATTCAAACAAGCAATTTTTACTTCCATCTAAAACAGTGGATTTTTGTCATATTTGAGAATAACTAGTAGTTACACGGATCTAATTCGAGGCAGTATGGCGGCTACGAAACTGCACGAGCTGAATTCCACCTGAAAAAGTTTCAAAGAACTAATGGAGTATGAGAAGAGGCATTGCCGTGGTGCATGACCAAAATTGTGACAAATTCTTTCACATAAAAACGACATTTAAGGTGCAAACAACATTTTTGTAGTTTAATCTATAGGAATTCAGAAATTCAGAACACTATTATGATTAAGAGCACTTAGTCTTAACGCTTAATACAGCTGTATATCATACTAGAGATGTGTTCAGTTGCTATTATGTATATGCACTAAGTCCATTTCATGAAATTGTGGTTTTTGATTTTATTTTCTTAAGTAATTTTAATACATTTCAAAATTTTCCTCAAAAGGCCGATTAGGTCCACCAGAACCACCAGGACCGCTTCCTATTTGATTAGGGCCCATACCCGGACCTATAGACACGCCTTGCCCTCCAACTGCGCTCATTTGCGGACGAAATTGTTGTCCCGGCGTGGATTGCTGTTGTAGCAAATGTCTTAACCCAGGATTGTTGCTCATCATGGGTCGCACCATGCGCTGTTGCTGCTGCTGTAGTGCATGCTGTGGAGGTATTTGCTGTTGTGGATTATTGGGTCCAGTTCCCATCATCGCTCCTCTCTGATGTTGCATCATTGCTATTTGTTGTTGCTGAATTGGATTGCCAGTGCCTACTTGATCCCCTGCGCCCAATTGAGGGCTGGGTCCTATGGGACCACCGATTTGCATATTTATTTGTTGTTGACTTGTAGCATATTGATTGTAATGCTGTTGTTGTTGTTGCTGCGTATCTTGCTGTTGTTGCTGAGCGTTCAGTACATTAGATGGCAATGGGTTTTGTACCTGCGCTGTCATCGCATTCTGTATTTGTTGCTGCTGTTGTTGCTGTTGTATGTTTCCTGTTACTGCTGATTGTTGCATGCCCATCGATTGTTTTTGCTGTATAACTTTTCGCAAGCGTTCAACAAACATCGCTTGGTTATTTGGTATAAAACCGAGAAATGCGTTTTTTTCCGCAGTATAAAGTAAGATGAGAACTTTAATATCGCACGTTGGCATATTGGTTGGTGTAGTAAAGTGTACACAGCCAGCAAAAAGTTGTGTCATGTTTTTCGCCAAACTTTCAGATGCTTCGCACGGTTGAGGTTTGAAGACAACAGTTTTAGATTCCTTAAAATAACCTCCACCAATATTTCCCACCAATTGCTTTGGCATTAACTGCATAAACATTTTGGGAGGCCAATTTATAGCTTTGATTTCAGGCTCACCATCCTTGATACTTGAAGTAACCGTGCACTGTATTGAACGTGTAATTTTTGGTTGATCAGTTTTAAGTTTTTCAACCCATTCCAAAGTGCCAGACCAGATTTTTTCTCGCATTACCGTTTGATCGGAACTAGTTCCTGGTTGATGTTGCTGCACTGGTACGGAGGTGTTTGCTTGATTTGGTGCACTTGTTGGTATCTGATTTGACGTTCCCGATCCCGAATGCATGTTCCCTTGTTGTAGCTGTTGAAGTTGTTGCTGTTGATTCAACATTTGCATGCGTATTTGTTGCTGCTGTTGTAACATGGGGTTAATATTTTGATTCGGTGGAGCGCTAAGTTGCGATATCAAGGCGGAGTTAGGATTTTGTCCCGCCAAGCTTTGTGCGTTAACCATTGAAGCCACGACGCCACTGTTCGATCCACCAATAAACTGTGGTCGGTTTTGTGTCTGCTGTTGATTTGTTGCAAAGATCCACCGATTTCCTTGGGGTTGGAAGTTAGGATTTTGCATTGGATTTTGAGAATTTTGGGCTGAAAATTGCTGCTGTTGCAACATTTGCTGACTGAGGGGATTGCCAGGCTGTTGATTAGGATTCATACCACCCACTTGAGCTGATTGTTGCTGCTGTTGTTGTTGAGATGAAGCGTGATTGCCATCCATAACTATTCCAGCATTTTGGCCTGTTTGTTGAGCATTTGGATGTTGCTGAGTTCCAGACATTTGCAAAGCCTGATTTGTACCCATAATTCCATTAGGACTTTGTGGCCTTTCCTTAAGATGGTAACCTTTTAGAAGCACCAAATGACGTATGTTTTTAGCATAATTTTTCGCTGTTAAAGGTTGGTCACCATCAGCTTTCATATAAAGTTTATACAAAACTGGCATTTTACGTGGAGCAATAATTGATAAATAAATTTTACGTTCATGAAATAAAGTGGCCAACTGCTCCACTATAATTTAAGCAAAATAAAGGAAGTCAAGAACATTACTGTAATGGGAAAGTAAACCACCTACCTGTTTTTCCAGCAAATTTCCAGCATTCCGTAACAGGTATAGAATATGGTGGACTATTACACACCAAGACACAATGTTTTTGCAATGCCATTGATCCTTCTATAAAAGGAGCTCTAGTTTCCTTCATATCTTCGAAACACACATGAGCAGTGGCAAACCCTTCCGCTAAATTTGCACATGACTCCATACCACCACCAACTAGAGGCAACCGTTCAAAAATCTCAACGACTTTTTGTGGAGAAGTGAAAGGTCCGAAAGTGCAACAAGTCGTTTCTAAAAGATTAGCAGCGGTGCGGTAAAAGACTATACCGTATTGTGTCGAATGTCTATCGGATACTAAGTACTCGCGATCGTCTATAGGGCCTTGGCTGAAGTTTTCTAACGTTGGCACAATATAATTAGTCTTCAATTCATTAATGTAGGCCCCATTTGCAGCTGAACCTTCAACTACAAACACAATATCCGTCAGGGTCTCAATATCCATTTCGTGATGTAAAATCAAAAAAAAAATTTTTTTTATAAAAAAAATTATATGTATTATTCAATTAAACGAATTCAATTTATCTGCGTTTACACACTTTTATACACTTAAACTAAACCATTAAATATTATAATAATAACCTACGATCAAATATTACGCTCTAGTGCCTAATGTGAAATGACTAAATGTTTGTAAAAGTTGACGACTTATTTACAGAGTGAAACATACAAATGTAAAACTAAGAAAACTGCGAATACAGTAAAAGCCCCTCTGAAGGCACCTTATGGTATAAACTTCCAGTGAAGAAATCAAGAAATTATTTGTTGCTCAAACTTTTTTTTTCCTTTATTCATTTCTTTTTTTTAGGGTAACCAAAGTAATTAATTACTGAAAAATAATTTTTGTTGGAAAAGATATATCAGCAAACACAACAATCATTGCGCAGAGTTGTAATTTTTTATTTTGTTCGACTACATTATGTATGTTCTAAAAACTTGTGCAAGACACAAACCAAATCATCCCATTTTTGCACATATGCTATTGACACTTGCAAGACGGAAGTTGTCAAGGCATTGCGACATTTTTGATGACATTACATTATATCAGTATCAAGTATACAATTTGAGTGTGTATTCAAGAGAAGGGAACGCTAACTGGCATTAAAGGCAGATAAAGGAAGATTTCCCACGCGTACCAAAAGAAATACAATCCAAGAAATTGTAAGCGGCTTGATCAAGAGTTTTATACAATTATTTCTGAAGAATTCATCAGCCTTTTTTTTGGTATGTTGAATGCAGATGGATTAAGCCAATAAATTTGTGGCTTATATGTCCAGAAAATAAACTGTCGTAATTTTTGGTCACAATCATGTACAAAACGTAACAAAGAAAAGAGCGGCCGTAATAACTCCTTAACCATGAGGTTAATAGTCTTTATGAATACAGATGTCAGTGAAATTGGTCTGAAGCTACTTAAATCATTTAAGTCTTCACCTGCCTTAGGAATGGGAATTACTTTGATGCATCGCAAATCTGAGGGTATAAAGTTGATGGACCAGCAGCTGTTAATTGCATGCAAGAGAATGCTAAGGCTTCCTCCAGACAGTGCTCTGGCATGTCTTACTTGACTCCATCACAATCTGCAGTAGTAGCTCTCTTTCTGGAATGTAAAATATACATTAACTCATGCAATGAAAAGGGTGTGTTACTGAGACTACTAAAAGGAATTAGAGGTATTGTAATCGGATTGACACTTAAACATATCCAAGTATTTTTTATTATCATGGTCATACCATACAGCACAACCGCTTAACAACTTAACGTTAACAGGGAAGACTTCCACCAAGGTATAAGTGAGAAGAACTCAATGTCAAGAAAGTTGGTTCTAGCAGACCTGATCACAGATTGAAAGGCACTTTGAATTGATGATAAATCAGAAGGAAGATCAATTTTAGACAGACGGTCCATAACGAAGTTGCGTGAAATGAAATTTTCTGTTTTCTTAACGGAATTGTTACAACTGTGGAATAAAATGGGAGAGTGCTGACTTTTGCCAATGGAAACGTTGGACGTGTTCCAGTTGAAAGATAAAATGGTTAAATTTGAGAAAGTTAGATCCAAGACACTGCTCGCCGCGTGACCACTCCGGTTACAGTGAAAGGTAGTATTGCCATTATTTAAGATACTAAAACTGCTGGAATTGATGGCATTTACAAGGATCTTGCCTTTGTTGGTCGAGATTTGATCGCCATACAAGCAATGTCTTGCATTGAAATCTCCAGTTAGAATTACATTTTGTTCACCGTCAAGAAAGCCACATAATCTCTGAATCTCATCACGAGAGGTTTGCACATCGAGACTGGGTGGAAAGTAGCATGATGCTATGAAAAGATTCGGTTTCAGATTCATGGTTTTAATGATACTAGATTATAGGGAATACGTCTGAAATTGACACTTTTCTTAACTAATATACTTACACCGCCGTAGCCATCATTTTGGCATTTGGTGACTAAGGCATAATTCGAAACCTTAACTTCAAAACAATTTTCATCTTTCACAAAAACTTCACTTAAGATGCAGAAATCAACCTTGATTGAGTTTAAGAAAAAATCCAAAAACGATAGGTTACGTCGGACACTTTAAATATTATATTGTAAAAAGGATATCATGTTAAAACTTGAGAAAGAACCCCAGCGGATTTTCTCGTAGTACTGGGTGCTTGAACGGGGCAAGAAATGGCACAGACAGATATTTTTTTTTTAAATTCTTTAATAAGATTATGAGGGATCATCGGATGGATACTCTCTTGAGTCGCCAGAATTAATCTTTCAAGTTCTGGGGACCGCAAATATTTGTTTGAAATTATCGGACGCCGAAGACTTGTTCCAGATGGCTTGGGGGGTGAATTGAGAGAAGGCTTGATGGGTGAACTGAGAGGAGATTTGAAAGGAACCGATTTCCTTTTGACGACAGCATTATATTTATTTTTGGTTAACATTTTGTTGGCATTTTGACTATCATGCTCCGTCGAAATTGCAGACGTGTTTCCCAGCGGAGGGAAATTGTCGTCATAGGTGATGTCATCGAGACATTCGAAATAATTTGCGGAAAAATTCTCTTTTACCTCTTTATACGAGAGATTTTTAATTGCAATGATCTCTTATTGATATTTGGTTCGAGTTCCCTGTTAGGGCAACACTTATTGAGAGTGTTGTATTCAACTGAACCACAGGGCAAGCACTTCATCGTTTCACAGTTCACACACTTCGGAGACTTCCCACAGTTAAGGCACCTGCTCCCTTTAGCTTTCCAGAATTTTGACATGTGACCGTATCTACCGCACTTAAAGCACTGCTTTAAAGTGGGTACAAAATACTCAACCGGCAGACAACAATAATTAAATTTTATTGACTTAGGGAGGGCTCTTCCTTTGAAGCCAATTTTGATGCTGGTCGTGGAAATCCACTCATCTTTGTTGTTGGGATTCCTTCTTTGAAAACGGACAGCGGACTTGATCGGAATATCGGATACGGCGTTTTTAATTATATCATCGACACAGTATGTGCATGGGATGTTTCGAATGACTCCAAATCTCTCAGTGAAGGACCTCGATATGTACGCCTTTAAATTCTTTTTAGCAAAATCATTATTCGTAACAAAATTGTTGGCATTGGCAGCAGAGCTGAAAAGCAGTTTGGTTCTTGCCCTGCTGCCAAGTTTTAATTCTTGTAAGCCATACATGTTGAAATCCTTCAACTAATCATAAAAATAGGGACTGGAGTTAATATTGATGCGAGTTCCTTCTGTGTCTGCGCACGTTTCGACAAAAACGACGAAATTGCACTTCAAAAGGCAACCGTACAAATTGATCTCATGACTTGGGTTGGCCGTAGCACCCAAACCAAAAGGTTTGTCGACTGCCGCTTTACTAGGCATAATTGAAGCATTTGCGTTATCCACTCCATTGGGAGATGAAAGAAGGTTATTCTCACCCATCCTCGATCTCTTGGTGCGCCCAGTGGCATTCATATAAAAATCTTCAAAACAGTCTCTATTAGTAGTTATAAGATCAGACCCAGTCTACATAGGGAGACGGGCTGATGTTTTGGTCGTTATCACGGGGAACGCAAAAAAAAAAAGAACGAAAAAACAACGAAACAACGAAAAAACAAAAAATTTAATATATATGTTGCTTTTTCAGTTTTCTCTCACGAGAGATTCCTCTTCCTTTCCTCCTTTTCTTCCTTTAAAATTGTTTTCTTTGGTTATTTTATTAGTTTATTAAACCTTTTTTTCCTTTTTTCAAATATTTAAATTTTCTTTTTTTTTTCTTTTTTTTCACTAACCCCGGTAAAACACAAAAATTATCCAACTGCCGTTTGCACAGATGACGTGTTGTATCAAGTGTGAATGAAATGCGAATGAATTCAACAGCCTCTGTGCAATTTTTTCTTCTTGTTTATTTTTAAAAATTGTCAATGACATTAATTGTTCGTTAACGACAACATTTAATAGGGGCGTCTGTACATAATTTAGAACCAATTAGAATTGTATTAGGAATTCCAAAGACAGGTCTTGCAAATTACAATAACATAAATATGTTGCATTCGATTTTATTGGGCTCCATTTGTGATGCGTCTATTTCAACAATGCACTCTCACCCTTGTTTGATCTTAAATTCGCTTTGATTTATAAGATGGTTCGAGTCTTTACCGCATCGTATATAACCTACGCTTCCATGGGACTTATTTTTCGATATTAAAAACACCATTACGGCAGAATAAATCGCTTGCAGATAGTCTAGCTGCCAAAGAAAACCTCTCCCTAATTGTTTTTCCTTCAATTGTGTATCGCCACGGAAATTAAACTGCAAATTTACAAAGATCCGCATATGTAGCCACCGGGTAGGCAAAGGATCACGACTAACACTGATGGCAACGGTAGCGAGTTCAATTCTCAAACACGGTAGAGTTTTCAATATAAACGAGCAATCTACTTCATAAATTTATTCACAAAATATATAAAATAAATAAAAAAATATTTCTTTTATAGCGAAACTTATAATATTTTATAAACTAAGCCCTTACATATTAAGTTTGTGCGGACGTATGTAACATCCAGAAGCGCTTAAGATAGACCCACCTCTTATTGTACCGATCGATTCAGAAACATTTTCTAAATTGATCTAAGCCTGTCTGTCCGTCTGTCTGTCCATATAATTTTGTATATAAGTTACAGGTCGCAATTTTTGAGATATATTTATGAAATTTGGTGTGTAGACGTACTTTGGCCCAAACACGAACGAAGGTTTTAGTCGGCTTTGCACATAGTACACCACACATCCCACAAACAGCACTTAACAGCGATGGAGCCTTTCAAAATTTACCCTCAAGTTTGCGCTTTTAATAATCAATTTTATTGACATCGTCCTTCTATCATTATTCATTTAGCGTTTTGTACCGGACGGTAGACCTTTTGCTTAGTGTGAGCGCGGCATATAGTTAATTGAGATTATTTAATAAAAATAAAGAAATCCTTTCTTGGTTCGTTAGATTTTCTTCTTTTTTTAATATATAACCAATCACCCAGGGGATGTCTTCTACTAGTCAGAAAGAAATGAGAAAAGGCAAAGACATGTGAAGGTGGCGGCCGCGACCTAGTGGTTGAGTGTTTAATCAGTAGGGGTCATGTCTTTATCCAGTCCCTATAGCTACCAAAGCAAACTCTACCGCACTTGCTTTCATTTAGCTTATACGTGGGTAGACGCGACCCATCTTCCAATTTGGGTAATTCATTTATAAAAATATGTATGACGGCGATGCAAATGATTGTTTTTATACGCATCGCCCAAGGATGAGGGAGCCATTCACTTTGTCAAACCGTTTGTAACGTCTGGAAAGAAACTTCAGAGACCCATAAAAAGTGTCTTTATTTGATCAGGGTCAAACTCTGGATCGATTTAAGCATTTCCGTCTGCGTAACCAATTTATAACGTGTAGAAGGAAGCCTCAAAAGCCCTATAAAGTATATACATTCTTGACGAGTGTCAAATTTGAAATCTGTTTAAGTATGTCCGTCTGCCCATTTGTCAATCCTCCAAACTGCTTAGTATCTGTGATAACCATTCGCAAAAATTAAAATATAGTCTACAAATTTATAAAAGAATTTGAAAACGGGCTAAATCAGCCAAAAGAGACGCCTACAATGCAACAAAATTTGAGAATACCTTTACTCTCCGTGCTGCTGCCTTCCACTTTTATTCCACAAAAATACACTACCCGATTCGACAGAATATCGAAACTTGATTTTTTCTTTGGTTTCTTTTAGGATAAGAGTGGTGGGTACAAAATATTCGATCACAGCCGAATATAGATTTCTCACTAACCTCATTTTAATATTGAATTTATATTTCACATTATTAACACTAAGACATATATTTTATTTATTGATCTAAATTTCTTGAAATAAATTGCAATAAAATATATGAAAACGCTGAGCTTTTTGTGGTATCCACTAAAAAGAAAGATCCTAGTCACAAGTAGCCGTGCGGTAAGTACGCCAGTGAATGCTAGGATTAGTGGTTGTTATGAAACTTGAACTCAGTAGGAACTCCTATATTGGAATTGCTATATACTATATATATATATGTATATATATATATGCTACATATGTATATATATATGTATGTGTGTGTATTTATATTTATTTATAGCCTATATCAGGGCATAAATATTTGTTGTATATATATATACAACATACAGAGGATCCACCTTCTATTATGCCGATCGATTCAGAATTATTTCCCAAATCGATGTAAGCTTGTTTGTCTCTCTGTCGGTTTAATACCTGTCCATGCATTCTTGTGTTCAATCCAGAGTTCGCAATTTTCGAGATGTTTTAATGAAATTCGGTTAATGAATTTGTGTTGAAAATAGTTCGGGTTCCGTTACTCCTTTGACCACTTTCCAAATAATGTTATATGAAAAAATATAGATCAAAATATATAAGTCGTTATGAATAATTGTATTAAGTGAAATAGTATTTCATACTATAAGGGAAAGAGTATTTTGAAAAAGAAATTAAGAAAAAACTGAAAAGAAGAATTGAAACAAATATTTAAAACTTTTTAAAATATGCAAATTGTGAGGTCGAATAAAACCAATTGCTTGGGCCAGTAAAATAAATGCTGAACAAGAAGGAGCTATAGGTGAGTTTATGACTCAGCATTCGAATTTCGGCAAAATTGTGCTCCGCATTAGGTTGTGAGGCAAGCATAAGAAATATTTAAATGATTTTTTGTTTGTTCTTTATACGAAATAAGTAAGAGAAAAATGGCGAAATTCATTTTCGAAATGAAATGATTTCATTTATGTAGTTTGTATCGTTTAGTTAAACCTTTAACTGTACTTACTTGCTTTAGTTTGTAATTAGATAAATTGAAAATAATTTTATTTGGATTATTATTTTGCTTATCTATATTCACTTTTTTCTTTCTCTTTGCCCCCCTTTTGCATTTATATTGATTGATATTACAAATATTGCGTTGTTTATGTCTCGATCAAAACATTTTTCTCGATGCGACGTCAATGGAATTGTATAAACTCACAAAACGATACGATACGATCGAGAATGAGTGTCGATATCAAGTCTCGTCAGCAGCAAAAGTAAAAGTATACTTTTGTTCTACGTACTTACATATAGCTGCACACTTAGTTGGATCGCATTATTGCAGCAATGTAAATAATTGGCAAATTTTTAACTTACCTGCATGCAAAATAGTGATGTTTTTAAGGAAGCGAACTAAAAACATATGATTAATATTTCCAGAATAATGTAACTTTAGAGTCGTCGGTTTAAATTTTTATTAAAACAAGTTGTGATGAAAAGCACGTATACACGCATAGAAATATATATGAAAATAACTGTTTAACGGAATATGAAAGTGCGAATCTAGGCGGTACAAAAAAAAGAAGAAGTACACAACAAATGGTAAGAGAAAAAAAGACTACGGCGCCATATCCAAAGGGAATGTCTAGTATGTATAATATAAAGAAGCTGCAAATAGTTGAGTTAATTTTTTATATTTTTTAGTTCAGTAGTGTAAATGCGGGAGGAGGGCGATAAGAAACCACTTCAGCCGGGCCGTCAATAAAGACAACAACTTTCAAGCGAAGCAAATGACAGCTTCTGGATCAATTTTTCGTCACGTCTTCACATAAATCTTAACTTATGTCACCAATCATTCAACCTTCATGGTTTATATTAGAGTAAACCAGTGATTTAAAGTAACGCCAATGAAAAAAGTCCGATGGAGTTATATCGCATAATCTCGGCATTTTTGTAGATTGCACAGTCATTGAACTTTTTTCTCAATAAATTAAATGTTTCATGTGATGTATGTAAGGGGCATGTCGCATAATTTTGTTAAAATGATATAAGCACAGTAATCATGTTGATATATTTTCAAAAATGACATATTCAGTTCATAACTCACACCCTAATTTTGGTAAGTTTTGTGGACGCAAAGGCCGTTTATGTTTTTTCTCTTCAAATGGATAATTATATCTTTAAATTAAAAAAGCCTTTAACTAAAAATGAGCTTTTATCCAATTGCATAAAGTTTTGGCGGAGATGGGTCACTATTTTTGTAATGAGTTATCGCTAGAAAATAGATGACATGAAACATTGATAATTAGTTATAAGCATTATAAGTTTTATACTATTAATTATTATGAACTTAGCACTCCTCTTAATAGTTTGTTGCTCCGAAAGAATTTCGCAAATGACATTTTGCATTACTAGTACAGAGTTTCTTAAACAAAAAGGCCTTCTAACAAACACGTGCATTCCAAAGAGTGTTTTTGTTGAAGTTTTGAAAATCGTTTTTTAGCTATGTGGATTTGATGATAGGCTTTAGCTAGATCTAATTTGGATAAAACCCTCTCTTGTGTTTTATATTACCACAAAGTTAATATCATGACATAAAATATTACCAAGCTGTCACCCTGAGGTAAAAACAAATATCATAAAGCGAAACCCCGGTTTAAAGTTTTTTTTTCTTCTTTTAGGCGGGAGAAAGCATTAAGAGCCTAAAATCAGTGTGGGACTTTCACCGCACTAAAACCCCCTCTACGTCTGGCGGTAATCTGCCCGTAACTACCGTTAAGCATTGCATGGAGAGGGTCTTCTGAGCCTTAGCTCAAATCATCTGCCATCTCATTACGTATGTCTTCACAAGCGTTTCTCTGCTCTCATCTTAGTTATTATTACTTCACTTATGCCTTGTGTTAGGTGGTATATTTCCAGATGATGCAGCATTAGTCTCACAAGTTTGTCGTGTGTCAATTTTTTTCCTACAGCCTGGATTAACACCTCCTTCACAGCTGTGAATCTTGGTCATTTCAATATATAATATGAGACACGTTGGTCTACGCACACCATGCGCATTGATGCGCTCTCTTAGGCAGGTATTGTCGAAAACATCCATGCCCGCGTATGATTTGCGTAAGGTAGGAACATGAAAAATGCCGACATGGTTGTCAGTTATTAGGATTCTCTTCACGGGTTTAATGTAGGGGGTGGAAAATGAGGGGAACAGGGAAAAGGGGGTGTGAGGAAATAAATGAGAGAACCTATCACGGAATTTTAGGGCGTCAAATTTTGATTTACCAAAGTCAAATTTTATTGGGAGTCAAACGACATGGCTTATAGAAAGGAATAATTATAATCATTAATTGGAGAAGATAAATCTTTCAATAATTCAGCTTATTAGTTTTCAATAAAAAATCATTTTGGTAAAGAAATGTCGTAACGATAAGATGCAACATCTTTCGCTAAATTGGCTGAAGGATCAAGTAAACGGATATTCTTAATATCTATTAATAAACAATTTTTATATAAAAATCTGCATTTATAATAGATTTAGAAATGTGAACGATTAAAAAACCAAACAAGAATTCTGCAGCATAGTTGTTTATTTAGAAAACTTTCCGTATTCCGTAATGGATGTTAAGATGCAATGCTTTTACAATGTTATTGTTTCTTTTATAAAGTGGGCACTTCCTTCTTATTCTTGAAATAGACATAAGGTGGCAAAATTTTCCAATAAATTTAAACAGAGGTAAGTGTTTAAAAATCTCATTGTGTCTTTGTAGAGATACACACATTTTGGCTGCTGTCTCTCTTGCAAAGTTTTCTTACTCTATGTTATGGTAATAAAGAAATATTTTTTAAACGACTTTTAAGGGCTTATTTTATGTTGATCATGTTTTCACTTGAAAAAGGTATTTATTCAGAAAAATTGGTATAATATATTGTTGCGGAAATCCCAAACCCAGTTCATTACAATTAATAAAGTCCCAAATAATAAATTCCCTAGAAAGGGAAACCCCACAGAAAACGATTACCGGGAAAGTAGGTTAAAGGATTAAAAATGAAACCATGGACTTAGGTAATAGTAACATACTTCTAAAAATGTATATAAGCAGACTATTTGCGGAAGACAGAGTCAGTCGGACAAGAACCTTTGAGTCGAGAGAGAATATTTAGGTTGAGAAGTCGAGAGTACTGCCAAAGTAAAATGTACATAGTTCTATCCTTAAACAAAATGACTATAAATAAAAGAGTCTTGTAGTCCATCATTTTGTGCAACTTTCTCATCTTCTTGGCAATATGGCCAAATCGTGAAAGAAATATATTAGTTTGGAAGCGATCCACCCATCGACCGTTTTCGCATTTCCCTAGGATTTTGCAACCGCGTGCCAGCGAAGAGATATTGTATCCATCTGAACAAGTGACAATCAGGCGCTACTTCTGGTCAGTACGCTTCCTAAGGCATAACTTCAGAGCCTTATCATGCACGAGAATGACTTTTCGTCGGTCAGCCGATATTGCTGGTCCAACAATACGTCATTCTATTTGATCAATTGACGTCGGCAGACGTCTGCAGTAAAAGTTTCAGCTCGGAATATACTACACCTTGCTCATCCCACCATATGCACAGAAAAACTTTGTGACCATGAATACTCCGCTTCGGTGTCGATGTGAATGGCTCTACTGGACTAAACCATGACCTTTCGCGCTTGGGATTGTCCGCTTTCATCGCCAATCACAATACGCCACAAAAACCTCTTCTATTTTTGCCCAACAAGCTATGAAACTGTGATGGTTGAACGACTAGAAATGGTATTTTCAATAATTTTTTCTGATAGTCATTTTCCCCGGTCTTGGGATCTCTCTGTTTCTTTAATGTCGAAAAGCGAATGGAAAATCGTTATGTTAGATGGAGAAATATCAAAACCATCGAATAGAACCGTTGTGTACGTTGACACTTTGTCCTCGTTCACTTTCACCAATAGATGTAGCTGATCAAAATGCATGTAAGCGCTTATTAATATCATATAAGTTGATCCAACCTTCCTATTGATTAGTTTGGCTTTGATCTGAAGATTGTTTTTAGCGGAAAATTTTAACTTGTGTATGAAAAATATCACTCGTAATAAGGTATTAAGAATGTATTGATTTCCGCCATGGTTAACATACAAAGGTATACACAATTTATGAAGTGGTAAATAAATATGTAAACAACATTAGTGAGATAGTATTTTTATATCTAAAGTCAAGGCATTTCAATTCGTTCATGTTGTATATATTGTTTTGCACTTGTCATTTGTTTTTATTAATTTTTTTAAAACGGGACACTTACAAAAGTGCAAGTATAAATTCAATTGCGCATTTTAGTTGAATACTTTTGTTATTGAAATCTAATTTAAGGGATTTGGGCAATCGCATGGTTATGCGCCTTTGCCACAAATGTCGTACTCGCGAGAAACGAATCCACAACTTGATTATACACAACAGCAAATATCTCAACAACCTGGTATGCAACAATTCTACAATAATGGTTTTGGTGGGCCGTTCCAACCAGGTTACGGTCAATTGCCAGGACCGATTGTGACTCAACCCGGAGTTCAGCCAGTACCCGGCCAGCCCACGGCTCAATCAAGTGAGTATCTTTGTCTATGTTGTAAACTCAAATTAATTTAAGAGGTAGTAAGTAAATCTTGAGACTCAGTTGCTTGAAAATGAAGTTTTTATAAGGTTTTTTTTTTTTTCTTTTTATACCCACCACTGAAGGATGCGGATATACGCATTTTGTTATTTGTTCATAATCTACGAAACAGCCAAAACGAAGTGTCAGAGATCCTATCAAGTACATATATTCATGATCAGCTTGAAATTCTGAATTGATTAAGCCATGTCTGTCCGCCTGTATATCTATGCGGTATATGTTGTTGGCAATCCTTTGGTATCAAAAATGAAGATATCAACTTCAAATTTTTTGGAAGTTTTTGCAGGCAAGTTGGTATTGAAAATGGGGTCTGTTGGTCAGAGCAGAAGCCGCTAGTAGAGCATAAAATAAACGCAATCCCGTTTTTCGTTTTTCTTAACAACAATTTTTGCTCGTTATTCAGAAATAATAAAACTTAGAGGGCTACTAATTTCCCCATTTGCTTTACGAAACACTGTACTCTTTAGGGGCAAAAGCGGAAAAAATCGGCCTCCCCTTTTTTCAAACCTTATGCTTATCATAACGCATATAAGATAGAATATTTAAAATTGTTTTGTACATGCCTCAAATGAAGATATATTATCTGCCAAAAATTGGATTAATTCTAAAATGAATATGTTAGACACCACTACTAATTTCTTTTTAATAAAACCAGCGATATGGGTATTAAATAAAAGAACTTGGATAGAAGGTGAAAAGCATAGTGATGGGTGTGCAAGATTCGGCCTCCATTGAATATAACTTTCTTACTTGTTTCTTTGACTTTTTCTGTGTTTTGGAATCAGGAAAAGGAAGGTAAATATAGGCCTATTGGCTGACTGCATTTATCAAATCCCAAAGCGAATGTCGAGGATTTTAATTAACAGCAGTTGCATAAACCAAATACATTACAATGGTACTCATGCTTATGATTGCTTAAAAAAACATATGTTAAAAAAAAGGGTGAGTTTTCAAATTTCTTGGGCTACGTACATTTAATTTTCGAATTACACATGTCTCCTTACATATGTTGAAATATCAGCCATTTCTCCTTTTTAGTTAGTTTAGTCTGGTTAGTAGCAGGAAGTCAGTTTGAATGGGTCGCAACAGATATTGGTGAATAAATAAATATTTTTCAAAAAAAATGTAAAGTCATTCTTTTTTGCACACACATCCTACTTGGAAAAGTATTTTATATTTGATATTGCAATGAACTCGTCCTTTTTTGCTACGTTTCTATTAGTCTGAAATATCCGCTATATTCTCTTATTTGATATGTTGTTGTCAAAAACATATATTAAATACCAAAAGGAAAGTTAATTTAAATTACAATTTCTGTTACGAAATTGAATTAAAATGCGGGTAAGTTATTCAGTCATAATCATTGAGTTCAATATAGTTCTTAGCATAATTAAGCTGAGTCCACGCTAGAATCTAGAATGAAATTGTCATTGTCATTTTCATTGAGAGAATTCTTAATATTCAAAAAAAGAATATTATAAAATATAATAATGCATGAAACTGGCCATATACTTATATACACATATTACTTATTGATGGAATTTTCTAGAAAACTGTAGTAACTTGAACAAATATCCAAATAGCATCCAAAAAAGAGAAAAGAAAGGCCTCAAAAGCAATCGAAGTTGCAAAACATTATCACTATTTTTTCTTTAGTGCACTAAGCTATTATTATTAATATTACTATAATTAATTTAGTCAGCGAAATCAAATCAATTCTTAAAGCGCTAACATTTTGATGTTATCGGCTTCATTGAAAACCCGACCGCGTTTGAGGTTTGAACACGCGACCATTGAGTGTTTAGTTAAGATCCTTAGCCTATTTGGCCGCCTAGACGGATTGGGTTCAGCTAATGAGAAGTGTGACTTATATATCCAGACTATAGATTATGATGATTATTTGCATATATGTAAGAAAAAACTGAGTCCATTATGTACTGACTCCAATATGTTAAGCCTATTAGAAGATTATAAAGCCGTATATAGTGATGTAAGTTTAAGGTTACAAAAAATCACATGTTAAAATTCGCTTTTCATCAAGAGCTTCACGCGAGGGAGGCATAACGCTCGCGTTTTGTCAGGCGAAAGGAATTCATAGTACACAACACCGCGATAATGGAAGAGAACTGTTAACATCGCCTTAACTTTTTAGCGATTTTGGCGCCGTTTTTTCGCTCTTCGCTCACTTTTTGCACGATTGATTGATCGATTGTTTCCGGATCGTGTGTGTAGATTTAAATCTCATCTCAATTTCTTTTCCAAAACAAAATTTAATGCAATTTCATTGCTCAACAAACTCACGCATTGTAAATATTGCCAAAAATACTTTTTGTGTCGTACAAACCGAATTGACACAAATGTCTGCCACAGTGGTCGCGTAATTTAATTTGAATATTGGTCTTACTTTTTGGAAACAGTATTAAAATTTTGATGTATGGAAGCTATCGATCAATTTTTTTTCTCTTTTCCGATATAGTGGCAGCTTACTGCCAATTAGACGCCCTGCACTGGGGTAAAGATTCATCTCGGAGCCGCTTTCGCGTTACTTCGAGATGGACTTTTGTGGGCTGTTGGTCATCCCTAGATCATTCTATCTCCATCACCATCGCATGAGATTACGGGTACTGATGTCGCTCCATACCGAAGTGTGTCGTGTAAAAACACTATCGCATTTCTTCCATATCTCTTTGTCTATCAGCATAACCACTAGCAGGCTACATGACGTGATTTCTACTTCCAGAGTTCTGCAAAGCGTGCTCCAAATATGCCGAAGCTGCGCAGGCGAAAACAGTGCGTTACGCGCTGGCCTTCATGCTTTACACAGTTCGCATGCGTTATTCGCGCGTAGGTTGAAACGGGAAAAATAATTCGAGAAATTTCCATAAACAGTGAAAGCTTACGCTAGAAAATAATGCACTCTTCAATGTTCAATGTTTTCTCCCCACTAATTCTTCAACATTTGGGATCAGGGTGTGGACCACCTTTCTTTCCCGTCATTGCTTCCGTTTCGTTAACATGATCTTTCGGATAGTTATTTTAACTTTACGAACGTCGGTGTTATCTTCTGCCGCTTTTGTTGTGTCTTTCCTTGCGTTGTAGATATAGAGGTAATATGGGTAACATGCCTGTTGGTTGCTGCAGGTGACGTTGAGACAGTGCGGTAGGCTGATATAATTCGCGGCCTAAAGGGTGCGGCGTATATCATTTGTGCATGGGCTATGGTGAATATAAGTTTACGCTTCATATGTTTTGCTCCGTTCATGTTTACCATAATTTTGTGCAAGGTAGTTGCAGTGTCCAGGGCTTTATCCGTAACCTTCTTAAAATCTTCCGGAAGCGCCAATTTCGTATCAAATCGTATCGCTCGCTAACATATCGATCTATTGCAAGATCATGTATATGTGTAATTAACTTTTTTTTTTGACTTAGAATCTCATGTTGATAAATTTTTTTGATGGTATGAACGAACGAAATCATCTTTGGCACCCTATTTTTAGGCTGATGCAGTAGAAAGGGTTCGTCACCCAATTTTGTTTATTTTTGTTTTTAGAAAACAGGGAGGGAGCGAGAGAGCTAGGGAAAAAAAGAAGAGTGAGAGATATGCCTTCATTTGTGCTCGTTTAGGAATATATCTTAAAGGTTAAGCATATCGTGATAAGTTAACAGGTTAAATCGGTAAAAGGGGCTTAATTTCTGGTTGAAAGTTAAGTAAATAAACAACGTACGTTTGAAATTGCTTTTAAAACAAAAATTTGGTTTTGTTTTTAACGTTTCGTACATTAACATTCCAATATTTAAAGTGAAATATAAAATGCGATCAAAGTAAACAAACCTTTTTTAAAACATAATAATACACTGTACTGGCACCATTCATTACTATCTGCCAAAGATGGAGACCGGAGGAGTGCAGCTATCAGACGTGTTAAATTCGAGCTCTGTCGTTATAAGGGACAAACATGTGTGTTGCAGAGTTCTATTAATGAAGCCAATTAGCGGTTATGAGTGTTTACTGCGAAGCCGATTTATAGCATTTTTGCTGAACATTTAACGCATCAAAAGATTTGATCACGCTTTCTTTCGGACAAAGTGACTAATGAAAAAATTTGAAGAAATGCCTTCGCCGATTAGGGAATAGATTTATGCCGACATGGAAATTATCCAATCACATTACATCGATACAACGAGCACAACGTCGTTCATGGCGCTGTATGTACGTAGGCTTCTACATATCCCAGTGTAATCCACATTAAAAAGTAAAGAATCTACTTTCCATTGTAATGTAAAGTTAAACACTAGGATCGTTTTAATGTTGATTATGAAAATTTTGAAATTATATTTATGCAATGCATAAGATAAAATGAGAACATGCTCATACACACACACGCACTCCCTTTCCTCTTCTTATCTTTAAGATAAAATTGTTATTGCTTATAGCCTTAGTGGAGTGTAGTATTTTTATCTGAAATATAATTTAATGTTTTTAAGTGCCTTCTATGAAGATTATGACAAAATTAAAAGATAGTAATTCTTTAGTTTTTTTTATACAATCACAACATTATATATATATATGTATATTATATATATATACATGCCTGTAAACATGTTTTAATAGACACATGTATTATGGATGGCATATATGAAAGTACATTCGGCTGCTTCGGTTTAGTGTTATCACTCGTTCTTTTAATTGAAGAAATAATATAACAATTTGCAAAGGCTATACTACTCTTTTTCTTATAATATCGCGTAAAATGCCAAATAAGCATCAGATCAATATGATCTTTAGTGTAATTCTGTTATAACAATTATGTCCGATTTTTGCGATTCAGCGAGAAATTATAAATCGACATTAGAATTAATATCTACTCCGGTTAATCATTATAATGATAAAGGAAAAGAAACTGAAAATAAAACATCGACAGTTTTGCACATAGTTTGGAATATATTGCACGAGAAATACGAATATTTATATAGAAAAAGTCAATTATTAAAAAATGCCATTAATCGCGAATCGAATAAGCCTTTAGCAAAACAATTTCGAAAATCTTTGCATTTAAATAAGTCTGCGCAGAAAAAGGGCTACAAATACTTTTTAAGTGATGAAGACAAAAGGTAAGGATTGCCGCGCACTTGACCGTAATTTGCGAAATTTGCTTTGTAAATTTGTGTGTTTGGATTTTTTGAAAAGCTAACTAACTAAGTGAAATAAATTCTTATCTTAAGAGCAATAAGTGATAAGATTATACATATGTCAGGCGCAATTACATCTTTAATGCCTTCGACTCACTTTACTTCACGCGCTTCATGTAATATATAAACATGTTCGTTGAGACTGGGATCGTTGTGCAAAGTTTTTTAATTGATTGACTCATGTCCTCAACTTGCCTTGATAAACCTTATCAAGTAAAGGTCATTGATAATCCACTACCTTTAAAGTCTCAAAAAAACGACTCTTTATGTTGATTAAAATATATTAATAACATAATGAAACAAACTTTGGACTAAAGTCCTTCAGATAACCCACGTATAACACGGAAGTTACTTGCCAAAAAATTACCGTATTATGCGAATCCCTGTTACCCGAAACGTAAAACTAGTATAAAAAGTGGGAGAGCGGTTTTGCACCAAAATATTTCTTTTTAATTTTCATAACTAAGATAAATTAAATCTTTATTAAAATTTACCTTAGAAGTAATACATATTAATATGAATTAAAAAATGTTTTTGGCTATCGCAATTTATATTCGTCCTAAGAAAATTTTTCTGCATTATCTTTAAATCCATGCTGTAAACATTCTGTCTATTCAAATTGCTTGCGTTTAGTTAAAAGATCTGCATAAAGTTCCTTATATGGTGCCATGCACTTAAGAAATTCTCTTTTAAACTTCGTGCTTTTTTTCATTTGAGGGATTTTTGTTTGAGAAATATGATGTTAGCTGTTCGGCTAAGCCTTCCCTTATGCTTTGTAGAGTAAACTTTCTACAAAAGAAGGAGATTCCTCTGAATTCAGTTTAAAAATTTGCTCAGGTTTACCAAAGTTCGATTTTAATAGTTTTTATCACCTTTCATGTTTTATGAGGGCTTCGTCCAATTCACGAACAGTATTAGAGTGAATCCGTGCTATAGAAGCGTCCTGTCATACGCTGGTTACTTACTTCGCTACTTTACGAACACTAAATTAGTGATTATTTTTTTCAATTTATTTACAAAACGTCAAACAATCAATTTATGGAACTGAAAGTTTTCTACATGTTTGTACACTTGCTCATGGAGTTAACTTACTTATGTCCGTATAACTTGTCTGAATGAAAACGAAAATTCGTACGGCAGAGTATTGAAGATTAAATTTATTATATCTTATTTTATAGGCGATTGGATGATTATGCCAGCTGGCATACCGAATTGTCCGCGAGGCTTGGAATACCTTACGACTGTCGACCAACTTTTAGTTAAACAAAAAGTTGAACTATTGGAAGCTTTTACCGGTTTCGAAACCAATAATAAATTTTCGATAAAAAATGCACTTGGTCAAAAAGTGTACTATGCCGTGGAAGAGAACGATTGCTGTACGCGCAATATGTGTGGGCCATCTCGTCCATTTGACATGAAAATATTTGATAATTATCGTAACGAAGTAATCCATATGCATCGTCCTCTAGCATGCTCTAGTTGCTTATGTATGTGCTGTTTACAATCAATAGAAGTATCCGCTCCGCCAGGTAATGTTATCGGATCCGTTGAACAGGAATGGTCGATATGCGCTCCATCATTTCGTATTAAAAATCAACTTGATGAAGTCGTTCTGCGCATTGAGGGTCCAATTTGCACATTCTCACTATGTGGTGATGTGGAATTTAACGTAAATAAAATCAATAATACAATACGCATGAAATTGAAAAAAAATGGAATAATTTAAATAATTCTTGCACGCTTTCAGATCATGTCTCTAACTGGCGAAAATATTGGTAAAATTTCTAAGCAATGGTCTGGCTTGGCACGCGAAATATTTACAGATGCAGATTTTTTCGGTATTACGTTCCCATTGGACTTGGATGTGCGTATGAAAGCAGTACTATTAGGAGCAACCTTTCTTATAGTAATTTGAAATATAAATACTTACATATATTTAGTTATTAGGTACATATATAACGGTTTATATATTTTTTAGGATGCCATGTTCTTTGAAAAATCCGGAAATCGCGAAACCGACAGGCCAGGCATGCTTTAAGTTTCCTAACTTAAGATCATGGATTGAACAAAGAAAATTATAATATTTGCCTATAAAAATACATTAAGAAAAAGTTGAACACAAAATAACAAGTTATCTTAAAAATTAATATACCCGATATATCTTTACAATTACATATACAATAACCGTTTTTATGTTATACGACAATTACAAGGTCTTCAGTAACTCTGTCAAATATTTTCAGTTAAAAACGCAAGGTCTTTACATTGCATTGTAGGCATATCATCTCGTAAGCATTAAAAATAGGATTCTTTATAAAACAAGTAAAAAAATTACATTCGGACTGGATCTTTTTTACCATTTGACTTAATCGCTTTTACAATCACCGTAAGAAAAAGGGGGAAAACTACATTTTCATATACTATTTTTGTAGAATAAAGGTGGAAATTTATATCGTCTCTCAGTTGTAGCTTGCATTGCAATATCAGCCTGCTTGCGACGATTTTTAATAGTTTTGCCAAATTTGCGGCAGACAATTAATAATATGTAGACTGTATATGATCTCTGAAGCTTTTCGGATAATGCAATTTTGATAAAAAAAAAGGATAAAGTTCTAACATTCTACAATATTGCATTGCGTTGCGGATTTTTTCCATAATTGCACTGCAAGACCGTCCACATAATGAAAATGCAAAATTCTTGTCGTTCTATCGAATATAATTTTCTTATTTGTTAATAATAAAAGAGATTTTCATATTCCTATAAAAAATTTTCAGTGAAATTTATTAAAACTAATATTATTACTTGACGAATACAAAATTTCCTTCTTCTTCAATGTGAACAGGAAGGCGCCGTAAATATTTTTCTTATTAGCTTTACGTAAGCTTTGAACCTTCTAAAATATGTGGAGGAAAAATTTCTTTACCAGAAAAATGTTTTTTCCTTAAAATTGTGCTTTTTTCAATGCCCTGAAAACAGTAGCTCTGTCGAATTGATCGTTGTTGGGTAGTCACAGCCTATTGTGTAACCTATTGAGCAACAGGTTTCGTTAGCGGGTGCTTATGTTCACTTAAAACTATTTGCAAAGGAAAGTACGTTAATGCAACGGATCGATTCGAAACGTTTCAATACTTCGTTAAAAGAATTGAAAGTTTCTAAGGAAAATTTTAATGCCATTTCGTAAAAGGAAAGTGTAAAATGTGCAGCTCCTCTCTTTGTTAGGAAGATTGCATACTAATGGAAAGAAAAAAAGAGTACAAAATTTATTATATGATACTAAAAAATATCCACAGCACATGATACAACAAAAAGAATATATTTGTAGCGTGGATCATGCATTCAAATCTCAAAATCTACCTCGCTTATCCGCATCGCATTAGTACAGCAATGCAAATAGTTGACAAATTTTTAGTTTTCCTGCATACGTTTGCATTGATAAGCACAAAGTTGCTGCTGTTTTCATAAAAGCAGAATAAAAGCATTCGATTAACGATATAGCAAACATTTTATGGTCTCAAAATCTTTATTTGAATTTTAAGTTAAGTTAGCCAAATACACAGATCGACAGACAATCAGGCGGACATGTTTAGGTGCATTGAAGATTTGAAACCGGCCAAGAATTGGTATTACTTGTGGTGTTTTCGAAGCTTGTTTCCGCGCCTTACAAAGGTATTACAAAAATTATTCAACTTTGATACATTTTAATACTGGGTAGGCGTGCGTGATCAATTATTTCCATTTTGGTGCACAAATGGTACAGCATCGCCCATAGAATATGTGTTCAAATTTTTGTATATTTATCTGCTATAGTTTATGGGTAATGAGCAAGAACCAATTTTTTAATCCTTTCGAAAAATAAAGGTGTCCTCACAATACGTAGTAATATAGGCGTGTCCTTCAATCGATTTGTCCCATTTTCAACACCAACCTGTCTTCAAGAAATTCCAATATTTCTGCCAAATTTGAAGTCTATGGGTTCATTTTTGCAGCCAGGAAAATATCCACAACGGACGTTATACATGTGGACATGCTTAGGTCGATTCACAATTTGATGTTGATCACGAATATATATACATTTTGTGTGTATATACACTTTGAAGCTTCCTTTTGGGCGTTGCAATCGTTTTGACAAAATGAATGTATACCTCATCTTTCGGCGATGGGTACAAAAATAACTTTCAAGCCAATCTTCCTCCCCTGAAAGTCGTATGTGTAAATTTTACGACGTAATTTAATAGCGCATAAACAGTAAGTATAACATTTCTATGAGTATTATATTTGCAGATATGTGGCTTTTTATAAAACTGCCCGCAAAGAGAGATTTTGAATTGTAGGTGGAACTTATTAAAAGTTCAGCGTCACCTTCCGACAAGTCAGAATAGTGCGTATAAAAAAACTGCGGACGACAATTTTGTAGAATTAACATCCGAAGTGGCCGATGCAATAAAGAAAAGAATTGAAAGGGAAAGCAAAGAGGAAGAAAAAGGAACAAATTACAATAAATTCGAAAATTTTTTGGGGTTAATGAGCAAAGGGTTAAACTCCCCAAAGGTAGCACGGGTTGAAAACTTATATAAAGTATATAAATATATTTATATATGACATGTTTTGTATTTCACAATTCGGTCATTGTATAGAATTATATATCATATATTTTGTGTGAGCTTAGCTCGAATCATATAATAAATTTTCTCAGCATTTTCACTATAAAGTTACATATTTTATACTCTACACCCTTGTGGCACATGATGTATTAAGTTTGTGCGGGCGTATCTACTGAACTTGAGAGAGATCCACCTTTTATTATAACGACCGATTCAAAATTATTTTCTGAATACTTATGGAGTCAAAGTATAAATTCATTGGGTTTTGTATAAATACCCTTTTCGCTTCACTAACTCAACTTTTCCCAAGGTTTTTAAATCCCTACTTAAACTCGAACATTTATATAGTATAGCAAATAATAACAGCAAAGGGAATACTAGTGCAACAGTAAAAAATTTGAGAAAAATGAGAAATTTCTAAATTTTATGAATTTTTTTTATTTTAAATATTGGCTCATACAATTTTTACTTAAATGCGATTTCATGTAAATGACCGGACCTTGAATTTGTGTAAAAATTCAAGCTTGAAACACAAATTTTTGCCACTTTTTCACATAAATCATCTCGTATTTACCATCAAGCCATTAAGAGTTGATGGTTTATTCTATCGCATTTTTCAAGATTACACAATCATTAAAGATAAATTTGTTAACTCTAAAAGAAAAATTTCCACATATCCCTCTCATGTTTCTTTTAATGGCTCTGGTTCCTCGGATGATTTTGAAATCTCAAATCTATTTGCTGAGTATTTCCGACGAAACTTTTCGATTGCTAATTTCGATTTATCAGCAAACTACCCATATCCTATAACTAACTCGGTTTCAATACCTAACTTGGTTATTTCGGAAGATGATGTTTTCAAAGGGTTGAGTTCTCTAAAATACAGTTGTTCGCCTGGACCTGATGGAATTCCATCATGTGTACTTAAATCTTGCGCTGTCGAGTTGTGTGGTGTGATTTCAAAGATTTTTAACATGTCCTTGTATTCAGGTGTTTTCCCTTCATGTTGAAAGAGTAGTTTCCTTATTCCTATCCACAAGAGTGGAAGTAGACAATTTGTTGAGAACTACAGGGGCATAGCCAAGTTGAGTGTCTTGCCCAAGTTGTTCGAGCGTATTGTGACTCAGCATTTGGCCTTTGCCATTAATTCGTATATTTCTCCGCACCAGCACGGCTTTCGGAAAGGGCGATTTACAGTCACCAACTTGTTAGAGTTTACCTGTCATGTTTTCAAGGCTTTTTCTAGTGGCTCTCGCACAGATGTTATTTACACTTATTTAAGCAAAGCATTTGATATGGTTAACCATAGACTACTTATCTTTAAACTCCAAGCCTCTGGTTTCCCACCCTACTTAGTGAAATGAATAAGCTCTTATCTGCACAATAGATCCTTCAGAGTTTTGTTTAACTTCCTCACCTCGGATGAATTCCCCGTTACGTCTGGCGTACCTCAAGGAAGTCACTTAGGTCCCATTTTATTTAGTTTATACATTAACGATCTCCCATCGATGGTTAATTCCAGCCAGATTTTAATGTATGCTGATGATGTGAAACTGTTTTCTTCCTTCTCTGTTGAATCGCAATCACATCAGCTTCAAGGTGATTTGGATAATTTTGTTGCATGGTGCTCTTTGAATCTCCTGAAACTAAATCTGAGTAAATGTAAGAAGCTTTCATTCTCAAGAAGAAAGTCATTCATTACTCAGTATTTTATTGATGCGCATAAGTTGGAGGACGTCGATTCGATTACAGATTTAGGCATTCTATTTGACCATAGGTTACGTTTTAACTTGCATATTGAGCTTTCGATTAGCAAAGCTAGGTCCGCGCTTGGTTTTATAAAAAGGTGGTCCAAAGAGCTTGATGATCCCTACATTACGAAAAGGCTGTACATGTGTTTGGTTAGACCCATACTCGAGTATGTCTCAGTTGTGTGGTCTCCTTCATATAGGTGCTACGTAGATTCAATTGAATCAGTTCAAAAGCAATTCTTGCTGTTTGCCCTTAGAAATTTGGGTTGGGATCCGATTGCCTCTCCTCCTCCGTATGAAAATAGATTGCTTCTGCTGTCCCTACCGTCTCTGGAGAAACGTAGATTTGTTCTTGGCGTTTCCTTTCTAATTAAAGTAATAAATGGTGCTATTGACTCGCCTTCATTACTTGGTGAAATAAGCTTTAATGCTCCTAACCGCTTCTCTAGGCATTCTATCTTGGTTAAGCTTAATCAGTGTAAATTTAATTATGAGCTGTTCAATGCGCTCAGAGTCGTTTGCAAGAACCTAAATGACGTCTACCACTTATTCTCGTTATCGGACTCTTTAAAGTCCATTAAAGCAACATTGCTTAATACGCGCGATTTACCTATGTCGTATTTAAACTAGCTTTTATCCTTAAAAAGTCGTTACGTTTCGAAAGTGAATTATTGTCAATTTATTATCGGTTGCCAGGCTTATGCATGTTTGCGATGGCTTAGGGGTTCATTTGCAATTTGGTCCTGTACCGGTTGTAAGTGTGCTCCTATGCTGATAGTGTACATGCTTTTTTTCTTTTTTCTTTTTCTTTTTTTTTCTTCTTATTTATTTTATTATGCTTATACTCAACTTTATTGTTAATTAATATTAGTTCTGCATTAAGAGCCTATTGAACTCGACTGTTATTTGTTTAGTTGAGTTTCCAGTATAAGTGGAATAAAATAAATAAATAAATATATATATATATATATATATATATACCGGCCAATAATGTGAATTTGTCACAAATGTACGGCATGATGTACCATTTTGTTGAAGACGCATATTGTCTAAGTCGAAGTCATCTAATTCCTGCGACAAGAAATTAGTTATCATGTGTCTCTATCGGTCCCCGTTGACGGTGACTGCAATACCATTTTTATGTTCAAAACTGTGCCACTTTCAGTCCACAAACCATACCCGAAAGTTGTTTTTGTACACAAAAGAAGTGCTTTAGAAAAGGCCCATAATCTTTATTTATGAAGTCAATTAACCAAATATAAGCCTCATCCCAGTTGCGCGAAACCTAACCGTGGGTTCAATGTTTTTGCTATAAACTTAAACGATTTGTGTACAGTGCACGGTTATGTATGCATTGTAGTTCCTAAATAATGGCAAGGTGCGAAAAATATCTTTAAAAAATAATTTGATGCAAATCTCAATCAGTAGTGTTTTATGTACGTTTAGTTTCGGATTCACAATCCTATATGACATGATTACAAAATCCAGGCAATCTTCTACAGATGCATCGAAAAGTAAATAAAAACGGAAATGTAACAGATTGTACGTACAATAAAAAACTGTAAAAAAAAAAAATTGCAAGAACAAAATTACAACCTCTAATGGTATTACACCCTATCCTCTAACGTAATAGTTGTTCAGTATATTTCATCACTGCAGTAATGTACGTTGCAAATGCATTCATTGTGTTTAGGGTTTAACGTAGTAGTGAACGAGTCGATTGAATTTGGAATCTTTGAGGTAATCAATGTACGTCCTTCTCAAAGAAATTGTTTGGTTGCTTGTATTGTACGTTTCATCATAGGGTTTATCTCGCGGAAGCGGAAATATATGTCCTTTTAGTACATACACGTACATATTTTAGATTACTCGAAAACCAATTATAACTTTATACTATAAAAGATTCATAAATAGAGGCAGATTTCATTCTGCTTCTTCATTCTTCCCTTCAATTATTGAATTGTGGGAATGATGCTGCTAAAATATATCATTTTTTTCAGCTTAATATGTTATGTTCTCACTTTGTTCCCATGTTGAATAGAACTTTGTTTTTTTTGCGATTGTGAATATGTTAAGCGGGTGACTATGATGTTATAGTATTATATAACGGATATATAAATTCCATTTGTTAAATTCTTTACATATTAACCTCACTGATCTATATAATTTGCTTGCGCATTATGCACACAACAAAGTAAATGTAAATCATGGAAGAAATATTAATTTTCATTTATTTGCTTAATCAATGCATCCAAGGGAAGGAATAGAAATGCATTTTTGTGTAAATTGACTATCTTTAAAAAACGAATGATCTTCTTTGTCTTTACGATAATAATAATAATAAGTTTTCCATTCTTTCATGGAGCACGAAAGAAAGATGTTGTGTCTACTTTAATCTCTTTTATTCAGAAGGAAAACGCTCCACGATTTTTAGTTTTTGAAAAAATTGTAATTTGGAAACAATTGTTCGCTTGCAATTCAAACTTTTTGCATATTGTAGAGTTAATGGTAAAAAAGTTTTCAATTTACAAATCAGGACTTCTTATCAAACAGCTAAGTAAAAAAACGGAAGAATGCTATAGTCGAGCAAAGCCGATCACTAAATACTCTACACCTACTCTACGCTTTATTAATAATAGACCAAAAATTATACATTATTTTTTTGTAAATGCATAATTTTCATTGGAGCCATTATATTGAAGGATACTCACACGTCAGCGTGCTCTAAGCTTAGCAAACTTAATTTAGTTGTTAAAGATTTTAGCATTCTTCATTTGCTTTGACGGCTTTGTCGTCATAGAAGGATTGGCTTTCATGAGAGCCCCTATATATGATACGGTGTAAAAAAAAAACTCTCGGGGATCCACACACACATTTCTATGATTGATTTCCTAAAAACGAATTTTTAATTTCAATTTATTTATTTCGTAACCACAAAGATTATGAAAGCCAAATCCTTACGTAGTTACACAGTCTAAACATTTTACAATATGGGAATGCTTTCATATTTAGTTTATACTTTAGTAATTGAACTCCTAAATCTAAAAAAAATATCATGTTATAAATAAGAGGCCGATCGCCAATATGTTTTTATAGATTATTTAACGTAATTAATCTTTGCTCAAAGAGATTAACACTTGTTTTAAGAGTTTTAAGATTTACTGGGTAGATGTTCCAGCATACGAGCGAACCATACAACAAATGCCAGCTACCGACGTCGTTATGAAGGCAATGACTATTTGGGCATTTTCATTATAAAAGATAAAGCCTTATTTTTCATTAGAACCCTTATATGGATTGGGATCCAAAAAAATTTATTATATTAATTTTTTTATATTAATTTTATATATGAATTACAATAATATGGCTAAAATCATAGTATAAGTAACAAATGTACAAACAATTTCTTGATAAAAATAGGAGGCATTTTACAAACAATTATATAAAGAATATAAAATTTCAGGATTTTCGAAAGTAATTTCATATAATATAGTAAAAGTAAAAAAATGTAAAATTGAGAAAAAGATTGCAGATAAAAAATTGCAGATTTCATTCCCTCCCCACCACCCTTCACGTTGTTATACTTTGACAAATGTATTTTAGTTGTACTATGTATGTGTACAATACATTGCATGCGATATTGAAGGTCGATGAAAGTTAAATTTGCTTCGACGTACATAGATTTTGTTAAATATTATTATTTCACAGTTTTGGCCTTATAGAATAATTTTTTTTAAGTTCGAGATCTAATTCTGGCCACAGGAATTGCAATTTTCCGAACAATAGCTTCAACTCTATTATGAATGAGACGAGGATTAGCCTTAAATAATTTCGTAAAAAAATTGACAAATTTTTATAAATTCTATACGTTCTGAATTGCTAACTATGTAGGGACTCAACAGAAGTGACTCATTTCAAAATTTCACAAAGCGACATGAATGACAAAGCTCGTATACTTTCAGGTGGTGGGTATAATAAAAGCCTAACTATAACTTAACACAATTTAACAACATTTTGTTCCAATAATATAATTCAGACGGGGCAAAGGACTATTAAGGATAAGATCTAAATTTAATATTGTAATAATAAATTATTTTAAGGGATTTTTTTTTTCTATGAACAATTCCTTTTATTTTTAAACTAATATGTTTCACTTTCGTAAAAAACCACCTCAGTCTTTTATTTTAAATTTTTGTTTTAATGCTTTAAAAATTAGTGCGATTTTTAATATTTACCCCTTTAATAATTTTATTAATTAGAAAACAAATTTTTATTTGGATGGAATTCAAAGAAGAAAGCATTAATTAAATATTTTAGGTAATTTATCATTAATTAAATTAATTTAATTTTTTTGGTTTAATTTATTCATTATTTTTACATCACTATTATAGCTTTCGTTCAAAAAAAAAAAAAAAAAAAAAAAAAAAAAAAAAAAATGTATAAGAGAGAAATTGCACGTTAATGTTCTTTGTTTTAAGTTTCTTTGCTATTCACTTAATATTTTTGAGTTTACTTTCTGTAATACTTTTGTTTAAAAATTACTGGTTAACACAGCATCTCACCATGCTATCTAACTGTGTAACACAAAAAGTTACGTCTACGGTAAACAAAAATTGTAACAACAAAATTACGGGTATTTAGCTATATACCCTATTATTTAACTATATATAACTTCAATGGAATCTAAATTTGTAGTTTTTGCTGTATACTTTATGCTTGCGAGAGTTCTTATAAGACCCCCAACAATTTTTTTTGATAAATTTATGATTATAGATGATATATTAAAAGATAATGTTAACTTAAAAAACTCTTTTAAGCAATGTATCACGGAGAATCTCTAACATTCATTTTTAAAAGTAAAGGATGTACAATAAGTAGAAAGTTATTTAAAGGAGATCTCCTTCCAAAATGATGCGTGTTTGCTTTCATTACACGTAAATAACTTACGCATCTATGTATAATTCCGTAGCGAAATTCTAACCTATAGTTCGGTTTTTTTGCTCTTGTTCTTTTTCCATATGTATTATATTTACGCCATAAATACAAAATTGAAAATTGCATCAACATATGTAAAGTAGTCGACGTTTGCTTATATTTTGGATATGGAGGGAAAATAATATATTTGCAGTAAATTTCGTGTAAAAAATTGTGCTGCAAACTCGCAATAAATGTGCGGAGAATTAGTATATGGATGAGCAGGAAAAAAATTGTGTGTCGTAGGTAAATAATAGATTTAGTGATAAGGATTTTAATCTTCGAGATTCTATTCACTCTGAGTGACCAATTAGTATAGATTTCATTGAAATTAAATCTTTAATGACCTTCGAGCGGTATTTAATGATTGCAGAAAGAACGGACCAAGTAAATGTCGCGAAATATTTTTACTTTCAATTTACGCCATGATCGCTGTGGATTTGTGCAAAGACGACTTAATAATTTCTTCGCTCATATTATTTACTCCCATAAAAACTTCTTTGCCTTTAAGCATAACCTTATACATTTTTTGCTTCTCTATCGCTCTTTTATTTTTATTTATTTTGTTTTTACCAATAAGGACTATGTTCGTGATGATGCCACAAATTTTTCCGTTCATTTTTAGATTGATTTTCCCTTTTAGTCAATGCCTCCGACAAAGTAGATCTTTGATGAGTATTTTGTAAGGCCAACGCTGATTTACTGTATGAAGTTAAAGTGCTATTACAATAGAATGGTGAACGTTTCGTAATCGTGTAATTTTTGTTTTGATTATTATCCCAACACTCTTGATTGCCAGAACGAAAACAAATGCAGAACTCCAAACGTTTCGATGATGGCGGCAGGGTAATTTTGAATGAGAACGTATCAAAAATGACGTGAGCACAACTGGCCGGACCATAGGCTTTATTATAAGCGCAAAATATATCCTGTTGACTTTTCCAATCATCCCAGGTAACGCGTACCATCACCTCTTTCTCGTAAGCAATATTTTTCACTTTAACCGTTCCCACCACCAACGATTCTTCATCTTTGACTATGACATTTTCTAAAGAAACAAAATTACGTTCTATGGTTTGCCTAAAATTTATAATAATAATAATAAGAATTACATTAGAATAAAAATATTTAATGAAGAACAAGGAGGTTCTTTACCTGAAAGCCAAATAGTCGGACGCAGGTTGTTTAAAATCGACAGTCCATTGATCGGCCGGATGAGGTGTTACTAAGCCTTGAGTAATCTGTTCGAGAAATTTCATACTCCAGTAAGGTGGCACATTAGAAGGTTCTGACATTACTCGCACTTGCGTCAAAGCAAGACCTTCGTCATCGGCAAATATCACCTTCTTGCGTGGACAGCTTAAACGATACCAACGATAATAAATAAGAATTAAAATACAAGACAAGATAATGGAATATATAGCAACTTATCCATTTCTAATATTATATAGTTTCGTTAATATGTTTGCACTCTTATAAAGCGCTTTTGATGTGATGGTAAAAATATCCTACTTCACTCAAAACAAAACGGATCGGATTTCAAAATACAGATCAGTGCAATACCCATCCCTATTATTTAAAAACATGCATATTTTTTTATTTTTGTATTAGTTTTTTAATATTATATATTTAGATTTATAGGCAAAATTGTTTTACTTTAATGGGAACATTCAGCGATAATTTTTGGCAAACAAAAATTGTATTTTAAAAAAAACTTTAACTCAGCAAGTCAAAGGTCAGATATGAAATTCAGTAATACATATAGAACGTATTATTACCTATTGAGAAAAAAAAAAAAAAAAGAAAGAAAAAAGACCGGAAGTTCTAGTTGTTGGACAATGATTCTCGTATATCATATATACCACTATACATATATACCACTTAAATGTTCCAAATACTTGTTTATTAAACGCAATCCATTGCACAGTCTTTATGCATATTTTGAATAATTTGCACACACTATCTCCAGCCAGAGTTACAGTTTCCCACGTAATTCCTTATAGATTTCTTTATAAACAAAAGCCTCTTTCTTTGGGAACATCGCACTTTTAGCAAGAAGAAATATTTGATTTCCAGAGGCAAACTATTAAAACAATAGATAAATTCGTGGCAGAAAACAATTAAATTTTTAACACGACATATATAAAAAAAAAAAAAAAAAAGAAGAAATTCTGTTGGACAATGGACAAATGTGTTTCATTTTATGCAATTGATTTATTTATTTACTAAATTAGCTTAAGAATTTGGTTACAAATGGTAATGATTCACAAATTAGTTTTTTATTATACCAATAAGATTGAATGTCTCTTACAATATAATATGTTTCAACAATTATCGCTACTAAGATGCTTACATAGATAATACTCAGAATGGACGCTCCAGATTTTAAATTATTAATCTCGTCATATCATTAACCAGATTTTATACCAAATCTCCTTGAGCAATGTTTCAATATAATAGAATAAAACCTCCTGATGAAAATGACATCGGCAGCAGATTGACTGCGATTCACACGCTAAATCCATACTGATACCTTACGAGACAACATGCAACTTAGCTTAAAAGCATCATGTATTGATACAGGTGTTAAAAAATGCCTTAAGTTTAAGAGTAAAGCTACGAATATTATCAATTGACTTGATACTCCAAGTGAAGAATTCCATAATTTCATAATGTTAACAAAAAACAGACTGGAAGACATATGGTGCTTGTGATTGGGCAGTATACGATTCAGAAGTAGATCTGCGCACCTCTGCGTCAGCATTTACTCAATAGGCAAGCATGTTCTGCTCTACAAGTATTTTAAATTTTGTTTGCAAACATTTTAACGGTAAAATTAGGTATAAGAAAAGTGTTCACAATTCGTCTTCAACGAATCAACCTTGTCAACGATGCTATATACATGTATATGTGGGGGAAAACATGCTTTCCGAACATGGTTACTTCATAAGTATGATGTAGCATCTTGGAAAAAATTATATTCGAAGCAATTTATAAAAAATATCAGGAATGAAAGAGAATAGAGCAAAAAATGATTTCTATTGATCGGTGCTAAGCTAATAAGGAAGCATTTTTATTTTATACTAATAATAGCGATAAGAAGTATATGTAAATGAGAGAGAAAATAGGAAAAAAAGAAAAAAAAAAATGAAGGAAAAATTTTAAATATTCGCTTGTATATGTGATATATAATGTAAATCAAACCACCCAAAACTGGACAATCAATTAATTATACGAATTTTCTTCGGTAGATTTTGCTTGCATTGCTTATTTTGATATTAACATTAATACTAACATTAACATTAATAACGAATACCATTATGATCACTGATATTAAAAATTGATACAAAACTACGCTGAAATCGTTTGTTTTGTTAATGAATTTAATGAATATGAATACATTTTTAATTAATCATAAAATATTCGTGAACTCAAATTGAAATTTGTCAAAAATCTATTTTTATACTTATGTATGTATGTCTTTCTGTCCCTTTTTCAGTTGTGTCGATCATAAGAGAAACGTAAGATATACATACATGTGAGATATTTGCAATGTATAAAAAAATATGTATGTATATATTGGAGACTTGTTGGAATATGCATACATGATATGTCTATGTCATCATGTAAAGCAGAAGAGATGTCCCCGTTTGTCATGATTACAAAAATTGGTGAATAAATAATTAAATAAAAAACGAAAAACAGTTAAGGTAAAGTAAAAATTTTAAATGAAAAAAATATTAAAAAATTTTTCTGAAAATTATAAGCAGAATGAAAGAAGAAACTAAGGGGTTTACAAACTTTAGATATATTAGTTTGGGGAAAAAGAAATCCATTATTTTTATATGAACTTCAGGACTTTATTTAACATGCTTCGGATTGTCCGATTTGGGTCAAATATGCACCGTTTTGTTGTACGATTTGTTGCCATTTTAAAGGTAACTTCAAAATGCCTCTCTCATAGAAGTCCTGGTCTCTATTTGCAAAAAACTCTAGTAGTCGATTTTCACAATCCTCCCTAGATTCCAATTTTTTATCATTAAAGAAATTTTGCAATGCAAGAAAAAGATGATAATCGCTTGGTGCCAAGTCCGGACTGTATGGCGGATGCATTAAAACTTCCCAACCAAGCTCCCGAAGTTTCTGGCGAGTCACTGTAGATGTGTGTGGCCTAGCGTTGTCCTGGTGGAACACGACACCTCTCCTGTTGGCCAATTCTGGCCGTTTCTGGTCAATCGCTATCTTCAAACGGACCAGTTGTTGACAGTAGAGATCAGAATTTAGCGTTTGGCCATGTGGAAGCAACTCATAATAAATAATCCTCTTCCAGTCCCACCAAATGCATAGCAAAACCTTCCTGGCCGTTTGAGGTGCTTCACCGCTCTTTGACCACGATCGTTTTCGCACAGAGTTATCGTATGTGATGATCCATTTCTCATCTCCAGTCACCATCCGTTTAAGAAATGGGTCTATCTCATTCCGTTTGGCCAAGGCTTCGCAGATGGAAATTCGATCCATCATGTTTTTTTCTGTTAATTGGTGTGGCACCCAAACATCGAGCTTCTTTTTGAATCCAGCTTTGTGTAAATGGTTTAAAACTGTTTTATGGTCGATTTTTAGCTCCTGGGCGATGTTACGACTGCTAACATGCCCGTCAACTTCGATAATTTCTCCGATTTTATCGACATTTTCGACGACCGGCCTACCTGTGCGAGGTGCATCTTTAACATCAAAAATTCCTGAACGGAATCTACGAAACCAAAATTGCACATAATTGGCTGTTACAGTATCGGAACCATAAACACCATTCACAATTTTAGCCGCCTGGCTTGCATTTCCGCCTTTGTCAAAGAAAAACTGTAAAATGTACCGAATTTTCTCTTTGTTCACTTCCATTTTTAACACGCTGTAACTCACAACTGAATGCACCAAACAAAAAACAGCAAAAGAATTTTTTTTACTGCGAAATGTCACCTTTCCAACGAGCATAAATATGAAATTGTTTGATCGATACTTTACGAGAAATCTATCAGTGCAGCCATCTACCGAAAAAATAATGGATTTCTTTTTCCCCAAACTAATATTATGTAAATATCTTGAAACTGTTGACTGGTTTAAGATTGGTTAAGATTATGTCAATTTTTGTAGTCGACGTTCGCAAATTTTCAATGAACGCTCATTGCGTTTTCCTTTCTAAACAATATCTTTGAGCGATAAGACAATTGCAAACGACATCTGTTCAAGTTTTGGTGTGGAGTTATGCTATACACACATATATATACGAACAATAACACTATTTTGATTGAACATCACTTCTTTTTTATTACACTCTATACCATTCATGACGAGAACATACTACGTTTGTTCGCATTATGCACTTACATCTCGAAGTTGTCGAGATTTCTTTTATGCCTTATACCACCTTATGGGGTGCAAGGATATGTTATGCTTGTGCGGAGATGTGCAATGCTAAGAAGGACCACCTTTCATTTTACCGATCGATTTAGAATAAGATTCGATCGATTTAAGCTTAACTGTCTACCCGTCAGTCTGTTTGCCGCGTTTCTTGTGTCTGTGATAAATATTTTCTTGGTCGCAAAAGTGAAAATATCGGCTTCAAGTCTGGTGAAAGAGGATTGCTTTTAAAATAATCAGTGAAAGAATACATTTTAATTTGAGAATGCCTTCGTTTTGCGTTGTTTGTCCATTAACCGTAAACTACAACATATAAAAATTTGCGCCTGTATTCTATAAATTATCCTTAAATCGTATAACAACGAAGAACATGGGCTGCACTCATTTGACATTGCCGAGTTTTTGTTTCTTTTATCAATATGCGATGGGTGTCAAACATTCAGCCACTGTGAAATATACTTTTTACACCCTACATGGCATATAGTGGCACACGAGTATATTATAATTATGCGGATGCACGCTATACCCAGAAAGGACTTGAGATAGACCCATCTTTCATTATACGGATCGATTTAGAAAAACATTTTAAATCAGTTTAAGTTTGTCGGTCCATGTGTCCGCCTGTTTTCTTATTTTCAATCTACAGATCGCAATTTTTGAGGTACTTTGGTGAAATTTGGTACGTTGACGTGTTTTTACCTATAGACGAGCGCTATTGAACCACTTTTACGAGCACTCCCCTTACAGCGCCTTATTTTGAAAGTCGTTATGTGACTAACTGTACGATGGTGTATGCTATTCAATTGTAGATCGTTGCTTGCTAAAGTCTTTTTACTTGTTTTGACTAAAGGATGAATTGATTGAGACAATTTTTGGGACCATATACTGTTCTATTGTGATAAACTCGTTTAGGAAAAAATATTTGCGATTTTTAAGTCTTTTCAACACTAATCGATAGTAGAATAGTGTTGTAGTACATTCAGGGGTAAAATCAAAAAAAGCATTTTTGCCAATTTTTGTTTGGATAGAAGGAAAGACAATAAACAAATAGCTTATCAATTGTATGGATACAGATAATTAGACACATCATTAGACAGAGTGTTGTGTATATGCTACTGAAGGCTTGACCTAATCCGCTTATAACCTGTTTCGACTTTTTTATTATCCTATTTGAGTTACTATACACAAAATTATGCTTGAGAAAAAATTAAAAAAATGGCAACACTGTAACTATTTCCGTGAGCGTTGTTTAACTGAAGGAGCTCTGTGGCAGGCGGCGCAATTGGTCAAAAACGAAGAAAATGTATGTTACTTTAAGCAAATTCGTTGCTGTTCCTAACAACTTTTAATTCGCTTTTAATTGAACGTCTGTTGGTATTATTAGGGGTAAGACATTAAACAGCAACTTTTCGGCAAGGATTAATTGCACAAAGATAGTCTCTTTTCGTAGTGTCTCGGGAAAAACTGCGACATTTCAGGGAAAGCATTTTTCTACATATTCTAGAAGATTGAAAGTACCTTTCAAGCCAATAAAAGAAATGCTATATTAATATATATTGGTTAATGTAAAATAAATTAAACCTTCAGGAACTCAAGGTTTACGCATTCATTTCGTTTAATCAACTCATACTAACTTGATATGTATTAATAGAATCAAAACTTTTTAAATTACTTAAAAGCTTTTTTTTATTTTTTATTTAAATTCATATTTTTTAACCTCCTTAAGGTAAATAATTTCTTAGAACTTATGTCATATGAGAAAATAAATTGAGTTTGAGAAAGTAGAAAAAAATAGTCAGTCAGGCAGTGAATCAGTCAGTTGTCTACTTATTTCTTTTATATACGTAATTTCCATATTTCTTGACCGAAGAAATGAACAAAGAATATAACAGGCATGCAGACAATCTATATACAAACATGCATGCATATAAACACACATATATCAAATTTAAAAACCAGATAAACATTCCATTTAAAAACTATTATTGGACTTTTATTGGCGAGTATCTTAATGTACTTTTCACAGTTGTGGCATTATTCCAATATAAAGATTGACTGAGCTTTGTGTTCAGTGCAAAAATAAAAAAGTAAGAATGAAAAATTTTAAAGGGCACACGTTGTTCTTTTTATCTATTTATTTATTTATTTATTTTTATTTTTTTTTTTTTTTCAATAAAAAGGAAACATTGCCAAATTGCTATAGTAACAGCACTCGCCTAAAAAATATTTGCTTGTGTATAAATTCTGTGGTCCTGCATATATAGATTTTAAATCGTACGACAATTTACATCTCGCTCGATTTACTCTCAATACTACTACTAAACGGTTACGTATGCATGCATATTTCTTATGCAATACACGAAAGAAATTCATTTAGTTTAATGTGCATGTGGAATATTGATTTCGGTTTTAAAAGCAAATCAGCCTTTTTGGTTGGAATAAACTCGGCCAATTGATATTAGATTGGTTTTTCCACTTGGAGAAGATATTTACATTTGCAGGAATTGTATATAATATATGAACATTCTTCAAACAGATTCGAAAAATTCCTTGATTGTTTGATAAACATGCATATGGATATGTGATATATTTTTTTATTTACATACCCTACATAGATGCGAGCATCATAACTTATATATAAATAAAGTTAGCTTTTCATTCTTACCTATGCTGTACTGTATCGGAGGTAGTAGAAGCGATAGTCTGTGATGAAATATTCGTATCCGTATCTTTATCTGTAATTTGTTGAATGCCAAACGATGCCGCTCTTGAAGCTGTTTCTTGTAAACAGGATTTACGCCGCAAACAGGATTTCGGTGTTTTGGGTACAATTTGAATTGTGTTGCGCAGCGTTCCATTCGTATGATCCAGTTCTCTTGGTCGATTTATGTCCATTATATCTGTAGAAGAATTTTTCGTTTTTTTAAAAACGGGACTTGTAGCTCTTTGTTGAGCCTTTTTAACCATAGTTTTGGAAGCCAATGTTATAACTTGGGGACGGCAATAACGTGAGGCACGATTGTGTTCATCATTGCAACTAGAAAAACAAAAAGAAGCATTTAGTAAATGTATCATTTATTACGATTCTTTTATAATAAAATTTTTGGAAACGTTATGGAACATCGTCTGATTACTAAATTTACTCCATAACGTGGATATTTTTGATCAAGGTTGATTAGCACAGAATTGGCTTAACGATGCCCGACTGTTCACTTACTGCAATCACAATTACGATTTGAAAATTTTATGTAAAAGAAAGAAGAACTTGGCAAAACTTTTAAAGAAAAAAATATAATTTCTTTCTCTTTTGCTTAAATGACTGTGTCAACATTTTGTTTAGAGACTTTCTTTCCTTTCGAGAAATTCTAAACAACAGTGAATAGATGTGGCTTTTGATTTTGTGGCTTTGAGATTTCATTACACTCGTACACTACAGTCAGGAAATGTCCTTTATACTTGCGAGCACGATAATCATCAGGCACAGTTATAGGAAGAGAAGGGCGGAGGGAGAGAGTGGCATTTGTGAACGGTCGACTTGAAAATGGGGAAATCAACTACGGTAGGAAAGATGGCTGTTGGTAGGTTGTTTCAAAGGGGGGCAGTACTACAAAAAACGGTCTGTTGTGCAATATGCAGGTAAGTCAATAGGTAACCAAATTTTAACCGATAATTGTGATTGTATTAGAAAATCGATTGAAACAATTTTTGGACCCATCATGTAAATGGCTCTGGCAAATATATGGCTATCAGGTTTCCTGAAATATTTTCACGTTATGGAAGAAAATATTAAAAAGTTGTCGGTGTTTTTCAAGGTTGTGTTAATTTACTCTACATTAAGGACAAATCGTAACCAATTTGTAATTGTAATTTTTTTCTCGTTCATGAAATATTTATGCCAACTTTTAGCTCCTTATCTCCATTTTTGCGACTGTGACGATTTCAAAATAGATATATATCGTGGGTATCTCGAAAATTATAATAGGTAGAAAATCATTGTTTATAGATGTTTGCAGGCCGTTTTTAGTATTGAAAATGAATTGATTCGCTTCACTTTTAACACCATTCCTCATATATACACCTATTTTGCAAAATATCGTTTTAATATTTCTTGGCAAAATTCGGTAAAAAAAAAATGTTTTTCCATACAAAATGAACGGAGAATTTAAATCGAGTATCGAAACTCCCCCTTATGATTGTTCTTGGAAGGTCTAATTTTTGGTGTTTTATTACGAAAATATGTGAAGAGTGGCATTAAGTAGACCGGTGCAGAAGGGAGTATTGCACAGACCGTCTATGCCGATTTTAACATTGGCAGTTTTTATTTTTTATGATGCAAAAATTTAAAACGAAAGATATAAAAAAGAAAAGGTTGAATATACTTGGACTACGTAAATACCTGTATGAGAACTGTTTCAATATATAACACTTTTTATCATTGGACAAAGTGTTATGTATACGTTATTGAAGTTCGGCCTAAACCGACTATAACCTGTTTCGACTTTTTTTATTATCTTATTTGAGTTACTGTATACATTTTAGATAGCTTTCCTGTGAGTGAAAATATTTTTTTGTAAACTTAAAATTCTTAAATACGTAATGGAGAAGGAAACTTCAATCTCGAAACCGTTTAATAAATTTATGATGAGAAATGAAAGAATCAAAGACGAATTTCATTTAACTTATGCTCATGAATGATAAATAATGATAATTGATTAATTACTTTCACTATCGTGCTCAATATTTTTTAGATTACCTGTTATTTTTCTTTTATTTACAAATTTTTCATTTTTTTCAATATTTTTAAAATCGTAATCAAAATATATACATTTTCTTGAACTAAAGTTCCTCTGCTATTTTTAAACCCTTATTGTTTTATGTACACATTATGCATATATACATATACGTATAGATGAATGTGTGCACAGGCGCAAGTGGGCATACTTTCGTCTTTACTTTCAAATGGCTTATCATGTATTAAAATATATTAACATATACGTGCGTACATACATATAACTTCAACTGTGTTTTACTCTTCTTTTTTACTTTCGTTTTCATTGATAGTTTTTTTTTCTTTTTTGATTTAAATGCACTTCAAATTAATTGGTTATTATATGTATTTTTTTCAAAAATATTTTCTTGGAAATTTGTCTAAAGAAAAACAGATGATATACATACACATATACATACACATACACATACACATATATATCATATATGTGCATTACATGATGTACATAATATACATATAGGTACATATGTATACATATAGGTACACCAGAAATGTATAAAAAAGAGCGAAGTGCTTAAGACAGTATAAACGCACGAAAAATTGCTTTTCTTAAATGAATGTCAAAAAAATCATTTGTCAAGTTTATAAATTCCGAAGTAAATGCTGAGTCCTTCCGGTAATACCTAGATCAACGTACTAAGTCGACGCAAACTGAAAGCTAATATAGATTTGTCCATATTTGTTCATGTACACTATTACTTATATTAAGTTTTAATAATAGATTTATTTTCACCATTCTGAAGCATTCGCAGTAAAAAAAACTAGAAAAGATCATGCATTGGAGAATACTCGTACTTTGAAAAGACTTTTGTAGACTCAAGCACGCTTTTGTTACAATGAAAAAATGCGGACGTAATCAATATCTTGTCGGTTTTCTTTCTAAGCCATATCAAGAGAACTTTTAATTAAAAAAAACTGGACATTTGTGACCTGATTTTTAAAATATATTATGTTGTTGAACACAATAGGTCACCGCGTGGACATTTTTGCCGTCTTAATGATATCACACCTTGTTGTCTAATGGAATTAATAATTATTCCATAGCCGACGGAGGATTTGTAATTATTAGATCTGTCAGATACATAAATAGTACACTTTGTCGACCAGCGAGAATAACTTCAGAAAGACTTCTTTTAAAGAAATAAATTTTTTCCCTATCGCTCTCCTTTTATGTTAACTACTACGAATTGAGATGTATGGTTTCCTTTATTAAAATTTTCAATCTAAGGGTTCACTCTTATAATACATATAAAGCAAACAAGGAGAAATTGTATCGCAAACAATGATATTGAATATAATCGTTCAAAATTTTGTTGAGTCCAATTTTGATCTTCAAGGTAAACATAGGCGCTGATATCTACTGAATTAAGCATTTATTCGATTTCGAACGACATTGGATGACGGCTGCAGTGAATGCACGTAAGTCCCACATTGTTCAAACAATTATTTTGTAACATTTGCCGAAACCTGGTAAGTATTTTAATCTCAAATTAATCGGTTTTGCATAATGGATATGTGTGGATACAACTGTCATAAGTTAAACAATTTTTACTTTCAAGTTCTTTTTCCCAATTTTAATAAGAGAAAAGCAAATGCGCTGGCTGTATAGACCGACAATCACGATTTAAGGTATCAGGATATATATTATGAAACTGACAACAATAGGAAAATGAGAAGCTTTTGGAAGAGGCACTGGCCAGTCTATATTATTCATTAGATGTATTATAGTAATATTTCATTAAAAATATAGATGCCATGCTTTATATATCTCCTTCCGAAGGGTCGACATAGCCAATATGTCATTCCATATCGAAATTCAAAAGTAAACCTTCGTAAAAATCGTTATGTATTGAAAGCAACGAAACTACCAGGCAACTTCTTTGATTCCTAGCAGTTCCGTTTAAAACAAGTGCTTTTATAGTGGACTCTTATCTTGCTTATTAGAAGGAAACTTAAAACCACATGGCATTCTCAATTTGTTTCATTAATTGTATAATAGCAGATCTTTATTCAAATTTTACAAATTTCCTTATTTAGCTTACTTTACTGCTCTAATGCACTAGAATCGGTTTATTTCAATTGCTTTCTTCAAGATGGCACTGAAAAAAAACAATTGTGCTGATACGGACGCCGGCGCTCTACGAAACTTTCGTAATCAGCGATCAGCACTTCTCCTGTTCACGTCGACGGTCAGTACAAAGCAAAATAAAAAGGAACGATTATCTCCAATTATAGGATTGGCGTTGTCGAAATTTATGTCTACGAGAAGTCATCTGTTATGGCATAATGCGAGAGCACTCCCCCTTCATAAACGTTCGCTTCCTGTACTTTATTCTAGTCTACGGTAAAGTACATTCATATTATATTTACAAAAAGTTAGAAGATTATGAATACAGATATTTCGCGGGTCCATCTCAAGACAAAATGCAAAAATTACGCTAATGCATCCATAAATTATTTAAAAGTTTATAAAAATTAATTTAAATTGGCGTCAAAATAGGTACAACTTTCTTAAGTAACGTTCTATTTTGAATAATAAATTCGGGAAAGATACAAAAGCATATTCTACTGAGTCACGAAAGTTTTAAAGTTGTATTAAGACAACATTTTGGCTGTGGATTTTCATCTGCCTGAGCAAAAATTCTAAATCATCTAAGAATTGCTGCCATTGGACTACTCGTAGTGCAACATCTCCTTTAATTAACTCTTCAATGCATATTGTTGCCAATTTTTTTTAAATTAATTTAAAAATTAAGTGTAACTGGAATGTAGACAATTAGCAACAACATGCAGTTCAGGATTAACCGTTTTTTATCAATCTGAACGTTCTCAATTCGAACTCATACTTAGCTTAGTTCGTTTTTCCTCGAAAAGCGACGTATATGCCAATTATGGGTACACAAATCGTGATCTTAAAATCAAACCTTCGAAATCAAATTTGACTCATGAATTATTGTTTTTTAATTTTTGATTGCATGCAAAAGTATAGTCGTCACTGGAACGATATTAATATTCACATGCAAATGGTAAAAATTCAAAACTTTACTTTAAACAAATATATGCAATGTTTGCTAGCGTTATGGGAGCTTGAGCGACTTGAAGTAGATCTATCGTTTATTCCATTTGGAATCATCTGCTGATTCAATCTTCGCTAGTCTGTCCGTCTTTATTTTTTGTGTGGGCAACCTACGGGCCGCAATTATATTGAGATATTTTGATGAAAATTTATGCACTGATGTTTTTTTTGCCTAAGAGCGAACGGTATTCACAATGGTACGGATCGGACCGTTTTCACGATCGCTTTATTTTGAAAAGTTGTTTTATGCAGAACAATTGTATGAATTGAAATAGTGTAGGGTATTTAATGATGAATCGTGGTTCACTATAGTACGCTTAGTTATTTTATATCATTTAAAAAAAAAAAAGGGCTTACAGATCACTCGTCGTATAATTGGGAATTTAATTAATGTTTGTGTCTCGGAGGTATTAACAGATGTGTTTTCATCATGAAACTTAATTCCTTGATGTACTTACTTGATACTCTGACGTTGGTTCATATAGTCTGCCAAGTAATTAATTGGTGGGCTATGACTGAATATGGGCGGACTGTGCGAAATCATAGTGGTCGCGGTTTAGTTAGGGTTGTTTTTTTAATTCTTTGGTTAATTGATTTCTTTTATATATCAATAATGTTGTGAACGTAAAGTGACATAGCATTTAACGTTCACGTTATCGTTTTTGTTATTATTTTGGAAAACTTTGTTTAAATTTTTTGGTATAAGATAGATACAACAACGATAGCATAACAAAATAAAAATATGATTTTTATGATCTGAAGAAAAATTTACATATACTAAGAATCGAAGTCTTTTTATTTACGTTTACATCCGTTTATTACACAAAACTAACCTTAACTTTGAAATAACGGTGTAAATATGTTTTATTTCTCAATTTTGAATTTTTTATGAAGAGTTTTTTTTATTTATTTTGCTTTACATATCGACGCATTTAAACGCAAATCGTGAATGTCTGAAATTTTTTGTTTTTCTTAACCTTTCATCATTTTATTTTTCTGTTTAAATATCAATGCAAAAAAGATCACGCGGTTTGTGCGTGTCAATACCACAAATTTTGCAGCTTTTCCTTAGCCAGTTCTCAAATTGTCTTTTTTTTTTTTTTTCTTTTCAAGTTTTCTTAAAAGTATTTAGTTTCCATTTTAAAGATGCTATTGACTAACGTTTACCAATCACACATTCCGATGTTATTAATGGAGAATATATTTATAAGAAATAAAATAAACCGTTAATTATCATTGAATATTAATTTAAAAAAAAATTATGCTAAACGAATAGGTATTGAAATGTTGAAATTTTCGTTAAAAGCATTTAGAAGAAAAACTTCGCAAAATTAAGAAAATAACAAAAAGTAAAACTCCGCCACGCGCTTAATTCAGTTAGTATACTGTTCACACCGACGAATGAGCTGTTTTTATGATCTACAGCATGTTAAAGCTTGTTAAATTAGCGATAATATAAAAATATAATGCCAACAACAATAATAATCATTTCATAACCCTCAGTGCAGTGCAAAACATACATAAACATGCATACATACGCACATTCAACTACCTGGTAATCGTATGCTCGTGCAAAATCTAGACTTTCGTTTGTAGAGAAATGTAGAAATCGCATATAGCGATTGCCTGAGAGCCTGAATACAATAAGAAAGAAAACAAAGAGTATTTGTCACACTTAACCAACCGAAAAAAGTGTTATACCGTACACTGCACTCTGTATTTACATACTCTCTCTACTGAGAAAATATACAAAATTTCTCAATTTATTTATTAGAGCATCGTCGCGTCATAATTTGCAGACTTTTTCATTTTAGTACAGTTGAGCATTCAAATCTTTCGCTTAAGTTCCCTTTTAGTGTGTTAAGTTGTAAATATGGAATTATTATTCGAGTCCGCAATGATTATGAAAATAGTCAAAAATGAATTTACTATTTTAACAAAAGCTAGGCTTTTCGATTCTTTACTATATTCACGACTGAAACAAGAAAATATGTCCCGTCGTTGCGTTAACAGTAAAGATAATTATTCATCCTGTGTCCAGTGTTAGATTGGGACTCGTCTCCTTACAAACACAAATACTTAAATTTCGATAGTTTTCTATATTGTTTTTATACCCACCACCGAAGGATGAAAGATATATTCATTTGGTCAAAACGTTTGCAGTGCCCAGAAAGAAGCTTCAGAGATCCCATATTCTGTCTGTCCGTCTGTGTAATGTCTGTTGTAAATAGTCTGCTGACCACGAAACTGATGCTATCGACTTCAAATTTGAAAAACATTGGATTTTCTTGCACGCAAGTTGTTATTGAAAAAGGGCCAAATCGGTCGAAAGACATGCTTATGTAAAGAGACGGCACCTCTGTTTTTCAAAAGAAATAAAACATTGGTTTTTTGATCATTGCTCATAAACTATAGCAGATAAATCTACAAAAATTTCAATGCATATTCTATTTGCGATGCTGTAACATCTGCACAAAAATAGAAAAAATTGACCAAGTCTACTCAGTTTTATGATGTATCAAAATATATTTTTTTTCCAATAACTGTATAAGCCACAGAAACAAGCTACTCCTGTTTCAAATTTGAAATACACTTAAGCAAGTCCGTCTGCCCAACCATGCACTGTCTGTGGTAAGTACTTTCCCGTTCGCAAAAATGAAAGGGTCGCTTACAAATTTGCAAAATAATTTGGAAGTAACCTAAACTTTTCAGGATACATGCCTAAATCGCCTACATACCGATGCGTCAAAAACTTTTATTTTCAAAAGAAAAAAATCAGCCGTGCCTACTCCATATTATAGAACATGAAAATGTAGTTCTTTTATTTTACCTGCCTTTTTTAGAATAAGGATGATAGGTATAAAAGATTCGCACACAACAAATATATTTTCTTACTTCTTATTATTATCGTTTATGGGGTAGAGAATGGAAATAGATGAAGACTACCGATCGCTAAATTTGGGGTTATATCTTGCAGTTTACAACATGAGGACACTAGTTGAGGACAAAAGTTGGATAAATAAATTTGTTTCTCTTCATTAATAAAAAAAGGTTACATTGCCAACAATCTTTTTCTCGCACGAACAATTCGTGTGTGATGATTTCCTAAGCAATGCTGACAATAAGTTTCAAGTTTGGTGACGATTTTGGAAAAAACTGGACAGAAATAAATGCCATTAATTTTGCTCACCCGTTGTAGCTGAAAGGATGGATAATATTTGAGGCCATCTTGTACTCTATGAAAAGCTACCTCGACCTACTTTCAAATTTAATGAAGACGCAGACAGAAATGAGTAAATGATCTCTTACTTTACTCAAAAGCATATGTCCACCATGTGTATATTAGAGACTTATGGGTTAATAATGGAATTACAAAATCAATATATTCTTCGATAATGGGCAGAAAAACTCATTTATAAACATTTCCTTATGAGTTTACAGGTACCACAAATATATCAATAATAAGCTATTATTCTTGCCATGGCCGACTTTATATTCATCTCCCTATATCTTGTTAAAACAGTTCTACATAAACGGAGAGGATAAAGGTGAACTTCTTTTGCACGATGTCATTTTGAAAATATACACGGTCTTCACTTATAAAACCAGTCTGACCGTTTACATGAATTAAATATTATATCAAACAGGTAAAATTTTTGAAAAGTATTTCTTCTTATTCTAACTAAATTTAAGCGTGCAACTTATAGATATTAAGTAATAGTATTTCATAGATTATGGTAAGAAGCTTGGAAAGAAAATGTTTTAAGCTGACTTATGTGGTGCAGGTATTCGAAATTCGTTCTATTGTTAAGGAAACTTTCTCAGTTAAGAAAACTTATCTTTTCACTCTCACAAGAGATTATTTGATTGTTTGCAATTACAAAAAAAGCAAAAAAAAAAAACAATACATTTCTCTCATTTATTTATTTTTTGCCTTCTCTTTCTATTTCTCTTACTTTATTACCTGCCGTTCTCTATTTTGTAATAAGTTTATCGCTTATACTTGCAGGCAGGAGCAAACAGTATCGATCCATACTTACAAATTGGTATATGCATGTGGGTAGCTGAACATTTGTGATTACCTTCAAATAAAACACCGGTGCACGTTTTGTAAACTCTCTTTTATATACCGGTAATATTTTATTTCCATTAGCAGTGATTACCATTCAACTTAAGACAGCATAAAATCCAACATGTATTCTAAACTTTAAAATTTTCATACCTATCTTCTTTGTAATTTCGTTATCAGAAAATCTTTTTAATACTCGTTTTTTGTGACTTGATACAAATTTTGTTGTTGTTGTTTTGGTTAGGCACATTATCGAAAAATGAATATATGCAAGCTCTGCGATTGCTTTTATGATATCCAGAAATATATAAGGAGGACGCCTTAAAATTTACAGTAGCGCAATAAAGTTTACATATAGTACGATAAATTAATGTTTCTCTTATTAAAAAGTGCACTTGCAGGTTGAGAGTCAAAAAATATATTTCATAAAAAACATGACATTATATTAAATAATAATTAAATACCCTTTTTGGCTTATAATAAAGTTGTATGCAAAAAATATACGTCTATTTTGAAAAATAAATAAAAGAAGAGTACATACAGCGAAAATATATCACTAGAAGTAAAAAAAAGCGTTGATGGTATTTAATTAATGGTGCTGAGTTTTTGTACTCGATCCCATACAGTTAAACTGAGTTTCTTTATTTCTTATGCTCAAAATATCACAAAATATAAAAGAAGGCAAAGAAATTCGTAAAGAGATTAGAAAATATGATTATAAAGTGAAACCCTGAGGAAAAATCGTTGGGTCTTCAAGTCTTCAAGTTATTGTGAAAAAATTAGAATAAAATAAATGCCACAAACAATAATCACCGATCAGGCCAATCAAACAAACGTACAGAGGTTTTCTTAGCTGTAATTAGAGAAAAAAACCAATTTATATATATCTCGCGTTTGCAACACTGTAGAAAAATATGATAGAAATTTTTGGAAAAACATAACTTTTAGTGATGAGTCGAAGTTTAATATATATACGGATACGATGGTAAACAAGGAGTAAGAAGGAAACCTAATACAGCCGTGGCAAACCAAAATTTATTATTAACTGTAAAGTATAATGGAGGATCTGTCATGGTTTGGGAATATTAATTGGCTTATATTTTTTTTTAGGTCTTTTCCAATATTAACGGTACATAGTTGTGGCTTCATTTGTTATAATTTCGATAATACTTCTGTTGTCATGCTCCGTAATTTTGTTTGGATGGCCTGATCGGTGCTTATTTTCCGTATTTATGTTATTATAGTTTAAATATTAGCACGACTAATTCTAATTTTTTTTGATACATCTCCACACGATTTTTCCTCAGGGCTTAACTTTACAATCAATCATCTTTTCTAACTTCTTGACGAATTTCTTTGCGTTTTTGCATATTTTGTGACATTTTAAAAAAAATTTAAGGAATAAAGAAACTCGCTTTAATTGATGATAATTATTTAAGTGTACGAAAATAAGTACAACAAGTTAGTACCGTTAACTAAATATGTTGTTTTTCGAATTTTTCAGTGGCGCTGTATGTAGAATTTGTTGGGTTTTTAATGAGATTAAGCTATATTTTGAGCTTATAACATTATTTAAGCCAAAAAAAAGGTCTGCATGTGTTATTTAATATAACTTTTTGCTTCTTATGCAATTATATATTTATTGGCCCTCACTCAACCCATAAATGCAGTTTTTAATAAGAGGAACCTCAATTTCCGATACTGTATGCAGACTTTACTGAGCTACTATATATATGCCTATGCTTTCCGGATTGCAAGTGCATGTCATCTCATGCTAACAGCTTTTTTTCTCCACCTTTAGTCACTTTAAAATAATATTAAATGTCATTAAGAAATAACGAGAAAGTGAGGAAAACAAAAACTGAGCGGATTTGTGTCGCATCGAAATTGAGAGAAATATTTTCTTATATATATTTTATGTATATCACATTTGGTGTAAAATAATAATAAGTATTACATACCGAGCAGAATATATTCTTCATCAGTCGAATGCTGCGTCCGCCATATGTAGACTTATCTTCGTATTGTCCGTCACTGAAGTTAAAGTATTGCCTACGTTTGACTTGGTTTCGCTCCTATAATAGCTTTCAGGATGAACAAAGTGAAATGAAGCGTTGCCAAGTTGCACTCGCATCTTCGATGTTCACTAGTGTTTTTTCTAAATAATTATTTTAATGGATATAAATATA